ACTGCATGACCTCGGTTTGTCGATGCGCGCAACTGCCAGTCCTTTCGGACGGGGCGTAAGTACAATTCAGAGATGTATAGCACGATGGACGCAGGACCATTTAAGAGCACGGTAAAAAAGCAGTGGTCATCCGGATGTACGTCAGTATATATCAGTCAAGTATATGTGGGCTGCCATCGGACGAGTGAGGCACAGGGCAACACAGGCGAATACTGTACAGGAAGTGAGAGCTGAAGTGGACTCGGCAAGAAATATCGCAGGAGACGATTAATAAACTCATAGACAATGTGTCGCGCCGTTTATGGGTCTTTATAGATGCCCGTGGTGGCCGCATTAGATATTGAATAAACAGTTTAAAAATTTTCATATCTTTGTTTGTTTCTTTAATCATCTGCAAATGTGTCTTCTCTCTGCCGATCCTGCTATTTTTACATCGTTAGCCACATTTCTTCATGCTGTAGCAATTTCACTTTTGACGAGTATATATTTCATTCTTATATTACTATCATTCAGTTGATAAAAAATTTAGTTGCACTAATTTATTATCATTATAATTTAACTAAGATTTATAGTAAAATCAATAAGAATTTTTGCCTATTTCCTTTTTTCTTTAGTTTCTTTCAGAAAAAAAATAAGCTTCTGATTTAAAATATGTAAGTTTAAGATATTGTTTGGAGAACAGCCTTATTTTATACAATACATAATAAAGAGCGGCATTTTATACATCTTTATAACATTCATTTATATAATACATTCTAAAATACTGAATGGTAAGTTATTTTCACAAAACACGTTATATGAAATATTTTTTTTTAATATAATTTGCATCAGACATCTACTACGCTGAAAAACTGGGGGAAGGAGCTCCGTAACAGATTTTTATCCTACGTCTATAGTTTTATAAATATTGCCCTGTTTGGCAGAATCCAGCTGATATAAAAAATTTTGAAGTAGTAAACTTAATTGCTAAACGATAAGCATCAGTTTCTGGGACCTTGATGAAAGTTTTGTTCATTAGCAGTATTGGGTTCCCAAACTTGCAGTGCCTATGGACTCCTTCTTACGGTAAAAACCGACCATGACAAGTGAAATAACTTTTTGTACTGCCTAATTTAGAAAATTCCAAATCTAACTTGGATGTTTTGAATGGTAAAAGGAGATATAATTAATAAAACATTTTCATATTTAAAGTAGTATTTATTGAAATTGTAACTTTTGTTTTAAAATACCCCAACACATTGTTTTCCTGTTTTCTCCGAATCAGATGGGATGATATGAAATTATTCATGTTCGGCTTATGTTTTTGAGTAACATTCGTAAATCTCAATGAGCAGTAATTTTCAGCGTTTTTTTTTTTTTTTTTTTTTTTTTTTTTTTTTTTTTTTTCCCCTTTTTCTTTTCATGATGAGGTTTATAACTGTATAAATCCACATTCTATTAGATAGGAGAAGAGCAATCGACATCTTCGTACAATGACCCATAATGCAGGATATAAAATTGGTATTTGTTTTTGTAACGAAAAATTGAGGTATCCTAGTTCAAATGTTAGTTTCAGCTTATCATTTATGGATAATTCAATAAATTGCTCCTTCCTTTGTGCGGATTCATCTGAGCTTGTGCGTCTACATGCAAAAGGGTCCATAACCAATCGGAATAACCAAGCGAAGAATGTCTTCAAATCTTAGGCTGAAGTCAGAATGAAGAACCATTAAGTGATGACAATAAGCAAGCAAATCTTCATCTCCTTTTTGAAATTTGGAAACTGACAAAATTCTCCTGTTCCCAAGATTTGTTTGTATGGAAAATGTTTTGCAATAAACCCAGATATTATACTTTTTAAACTGGTGAACTTGTAGCTTTAAACTAATTTCGCTAAATTTGACAAAAATGTTGGTCATATAAACTATGCTATTTTTTGAATTAATTAAATTGAGCCACAAATCATTTTCTTTATTTCCTAAGAATTCCAATACTGAATCAAACAGCGCATAAAATGGATCCAAACATGCATTATTAGAAAACTAACGAACCAAATAGTAAGTAGTATATCATGACAATCTTCATTTTACAAGCAAAACTCAACAAGTAATCTCTTCCGGATATGAATTCTAGGGGTATTTATAGGATTTCTTGCCAGTGTGGTTTAATTTACATTGGCCAAACTAAGAGAGCCTTAAAATTTCGCTTCAAGGAACATGAGGCATATGTTAGAAGTCTTCTGTTGCCCAGCATTGTTGGTCCGAAAATCACATTTACAATTTTTCTGCTGCCAAAATTATTCAAAAAACATCTTCCATTGGAAAACTGGATTTTCTAGAGGCATTTCACATTCAAAAAAATCTTTCTGTTCTAGTTAACGATCCTAATTCCAATCCATCTTTGCCTTCGGCCTTTAAAGAAATTATGTTTTAGTTCTGGTTTCACCAACAGATGGCGCCACTTGCTTATTCTTGTCCAGGCTTTCTTATCTTATCTAATCATTATTTCCTATCTTGTTCATTTGCGGTTTTGCAGCTGAGGATGGTGGTTCGGTAAAACCATCGAAACTAGTCCTGTGAAAATTTTGAAAATATAACGCTGATTTTTGTTGTTTGACTTCTGAATAAGTAATCTCTCATTTAAGGCATCCCTTTTGCTTTTATTAATTGCTGTAATGACATTATTTAGTAAGCCATGCAAGTATTCATTAAGATTTTTGGCGATTAAATGTTGTCGATCACGATATGTCCAGATAATACATTCAGTATAGCTTATTTAAAGCGTGGTAGAAAGTCTTAGGTGTCGTCCTTCCATTGCTGGAGCACCATTATTTGCAACAGAGAGACTATTACTTAAGGGATAGTTTTTACAAAATCAAAATCTTTTTAATGCATTAAGTATTGTTTCACCTTTCGCATCAGTTTCCAAATATTTGACAAATAACAGTTCTTGGGAGCTATTATTACAAATGTCACATACACTAAATCTCGCACAATCTTTTACAAATCTCACATAAGCACTAATAACTAAAGTAAAGCTTCATTTTCTGACAAAACTGATTCGTCAAGCTGAACAGAGGTTTCAGATGATTTTATGAACTCATACAAAGAATTTTATATACACTGAGCCCTTTTGTCCATCCGTCTCTATAGTACGAGTACATTATTACCCAGTGGAATAATTGCTCCAGATTTACTTATTATAATACCGAAAGCTGGTTTATGCAGCGTGCGTCTACATACAAAGCTGGTGCGCATCACCTCATTTGCAGCTGGTAGAATAAATTTTTCACCAACAGTGTGCGGCTTTCTGACTTTGCAATGTGTAAAGAAATGTTACAAAAAGCACGTAGTCTCTCGTCATCGTGCTCAGATGTCACAAAGACGATGTTTTCAGATATTTTTATTTGACTGTTTTAAAAAAGAAATTAAGTTTTTATCTCTTTTGTCACTGTGGACTATTGTCAAATATTCCTTAAGCTTCATTCATTAGTTTAGCAAAGTTTTACTGAATAGAAAGGCACGTAGCTGAAGTATTATATAACAGAATAAAGCCATATTTTAAATATTCAAACTCTATACCATCTGCGCTTTTTCTTTTGCTCATTCACTCTAAAAAAAGCATACAACTTATTTTATTTTACTCAGAGCATAAAAATTGCTTCAGATTTACTTACTGATATTTATTTTTAATTACGGTGAAAATGGGCCACAATTATTGTTTTATATTAAGCCATTCGCAGATCCCCCGACATTGTCCACGCAACTCTAAATGAATATAAATTTTCCGAAGATCCCCTCAGAGATCATAAGGACTTCTCTGGGGGTCCATAGGAACCACTTTGACAAACAGTGGTCTAGAGCGTGATTCATCTTCGAGGCATTATCTGCTTTCTCTAAATTCTTGCTTTTAATGACATGTTGACCTTGAAAATCTGAAATATTTCAAAAGTTTTTATAGCAAAAAATTTCATTTCAGATTAAAATTTAAAGAACGTTCTTTATTTAATTTCATTTCACATTTTGAGCAAAATTCTTCATTCATCATTTTTAATGAATTAATTTGCAGTTGATAAAAAGTTGTATTATTATCAAGTCTTAGCTTTTGAAAATTCTTGCGCGAGCATGTATTAAATGAATTTAAAGAGATATGGTCCATAACGAGACAGGGTTATGAAATGATCTTATTAGGATCTTAAAAAAAAAAAAAAAAAAAAAAAAAAAAAAAAAAAAAAAAAAAAAAAAAAAAAAAAAAAAAAAAAAAAAAAAAAAAAAAACTTTGCATTAGGGTTTAAAATGAATTGGAACTAAACTTTAATCCGCTTTCTAAACCATCAATCGGAACTTCATCTGGATTTTACCAAAACCCTTGCGCGCTTTCAGTTATTGTTTGTACCGGAATCAGTTATTGTTTGTATACACAATTTAAATGGACCGAAATCAGTTATTGTTCATATACTCAGTTTAAACGAACCGGAATCAGGTATTGTTTGTATACTTTGTTTTACGTAAGAATGGATCAAAACAAAATATCTTCTTCATCCGGTAATGGACTGCTACCGAAGTTAATTCGCATGCCGAAAGGATGGAAAGTTCTGTTTACTTCTTTCACATCAGGTAAAACTCCATTTTACTTACAAATTATGTCGCTTTTGAAATTAGTGCAAGCTTTTTTAAAAACCATTTTCATAAATTGTCTTAGCATCGTGCTAATTATATTGAGCTGTAATTAATATAATTTAGAACTCACTAGTTAATTATGAGAAATGTGAATTATTGTGTTTTAAAGTTAATTTCTCCTGCATTGCAAGGAATGATTGTTTTTTTAACTTAAAAACATTAGTAATTAATTAGAATATTATATTCGCAAGCCTTTAACAATAATCACAACCCCTTACGTACTGTTAAAAGTTTTCTTTGTTTTTAACCCTTCAACGTATCTCAGAATTTTCAGAGTTATCTACTCACATTTGATATCAAAAACAACTTCTTCGTGACCTTCAAAAACAAAGACACGTGATACTACCTTTCGTCGACCATTGCGCGGTGATTTTAACAATTACTGAGCAAAAGTCGGTTCTGTACACAGGCTGTGTATACAAATGTCGTTTATAATGTCTTTCACAGATGCGGAGAGTGTTGAAGTTCCAGAAATTGAAAATGTATTGAATTTAGACCCCTATCTGAAACCTCATGAAAAAGAAATTCGACGCCGGTAAGTTGCTATTTTCTGTATCATCCAGAGTTATATAAAGAAAGGTTAATATGTAATATATATCGAAAAATATATTTTAGAAAGCATTTTTGAGGACACTATGTTATGTATAAAATGATCATTTATGTAAATATATGTAGTGAAATTTTTCGTGGGTAAAATGTAAATATTTGTAATCTTATATCGAAAAATATATTTTAGAAAGCATTTTTGAGGACACTGTGTTATGTATACAATGATCATTTATGTAAATATATATAGTGAAATGTTTCGTGGATGAAATGTAAATATTTGTAATCTTAATTTCCTAGTTTTTAAAACATTGCTTAGTTCGTGTTCTTTAGGCGGGTTACTTTTTTTGCTGAAACGCCTATCATTAAAGTTAATTTTATTTATATTTCTTTCGTCATAGTTGTAGAATTTATTTTTAAAGTTGTATTTCTTTTTAGTCTTTAGAAGGTAAACGTAGTGGGATAGAATGCTCTCGGAATTAAAAAAAAAAAAAAAAAGAAGGGAGATACAGCATTTTAAAGATTTTTTATATAACCTAGAAATCAGCTTTATTCATAATCTTTGAACAGATTTGGATGCTACCATATTAAATAAAAGAATTCATTTGATGCCATAGTTAAAAGTTTAGCAAAATTTCTTAACTTCTAAATGTTGAAATATGTTTATGAATAAAAAGAAACACACCTTTAAGGGCTTAAAACATAAAATTTTTTTAATATTTAAAAATAAAAGAGTACTAATTATTCTCAAGGTGTGTTGAATGTTGAAAATATTGTCTGAATTACAAACTGTAAGAACCGATTTGAGGAAGCCAGCTAAATTGTTCTCTCGAGCACAGTTAATTTAAATTGCATTTTGTTTTAAATTACTAATATGATCGATTTATTATGGACGCCAGTTGTACAGATTGCTTAGATGATTGAAAATATTGAAATTAGCCCTGGATTTACTAGTTTACCTCTATATGCCTCTATATTATCTTTGATGAATACATGAAATTTGGTGCATGGTTTTAAACTTGTTATTTATAGGCACAGATACACTGAACTGAAGTTTGTTACATGGTATAGATGAGAAATTTGTTGTTGTCAGAAAACATATTATTTTTGATGCATTGTATCTCTTGTTATGCATAGGTTTGAAATACAGTTAAAAGCTTAGTGTTAATTCATGACTTAAAAAAAAATCTGATATCGTGAAATAAGAAAGTTTTGCTAGTGATTATGTAATAATGTCGGCTGTATTAAAATTATTTCTGAAGTTCAAGAATTTTAAAATATAAGTGAAAAAAGAGAATGATCTAGGCTGAAGGAAGTTTTTAAATCAAGACATTCTTTGTAACTCTCAAGAGAATAGTAGAAAAATACAAATTGAAAACTGGAGATGAAACAAAAATACTGGTGATGATGAGACATTGGAACATGTAAACAAACTGGTTTGATTTAACTGCACCATAGTATACAGTATTTTTCATAATACTTGAATATGGACATGACCTATAACTGAATTTTTTAATGGTATGCCTGGATTGATTACAGTTTTATGATTCATGTTTGCCTATTATGTAGTATATGTATGTATTGGTAATGAGGAATTCAGTATATAAGAAGTGGTTGAAACTTTAGATTCTTTCAAAATTAGATTTCTGTTTTGTTGAGCTATATAATTTAAACTTTTATTTCTAAGTTGTCTTTAGTATCATATACTTAGACATTTAAGATGCTAATAACTAATATCTCTCATGTTTCATGAGTACATGAAATTTCTATAATGCAGTGATAATTTTTTGTTGAAGAGCAGAAATGATTACAGCAGCCAACTTATTAATCATTTATAAATGAATTATAGTAACCTCCCAAGTTATGTAAGCAATGTGTTACACAAACTTTTACTTAAGTAGAACTTTATATAAGTTGATTATCGAACTTGCTGGCTCTACTCTTATATGCTCCCTAACATCAGCAAATGTGGTGATATGTGCTGTGTGCTGGTTTTTGGTGCTATTGTGTGTTGTATGGCAACCCTGTTGATGTTGAAAAATCTTTTGCTGGAGTAGTTTAATTGCTCATTGGTTAGTGTTGTGCGTGTTTTTGAAATGGCCTATGTTGCAATGAGAGACATGGTGGGAAGATTTCAGTCGCATATTTTAGACTATGTGCAAAGGAAATTTAGTATTAAAAGGAACGATGTTGGAGTTGTTAATGAGTCTGCTCTGTATAATGCTCTGTGTCTGAGAAGACAGAGGGGAAAGATAAAGTGGTGGGAGTTGATGAATCGAAGTTTGGCAAATGGAAACATCGTGGCCATCCTGTTGAGGGGCAGTGGGTATTTGGAGGTGTGGAAAGAGGGTCTGGGAGATTATTTTTAGCGGCTGTGCATGATAGAAGTAGGGAAACGCTGATGCAGTGTATTAAAGAGTGGATTGAGCCTGGTACAACTATTTGGATGGATATTATTATTTCGGATGGATGGAAATCTTACAAGGATTTAGGAATAGAAGGTTTTGAACATTTATTTGTGAAAGATAGTATCAATTTCTGTGAATAGTAGATCTGGCTGTGAGATTAATAGGATAGTGATTACTTGGCGGCATGTTAAAGGCGGCATGAAATTGGAAATTTCTGCTGTTCCAAAAAGCACTCATTCATGGTAAGTGCATTTTATTTCATTCTTGTTCTTATTTTGTAGAATGTTATGTTCATTGTTTTTTAGCATGAATTTCTGTCATCATTATTGTTTTTTTTTTATTGTTTGAAATTAATTTTAGTTTATTTTATTGATTAGTGCGTAGTGCCTAGATTATGCAATTTGTAGATGTTTTTTAAAGTTGAAACAGAACGGTACACGGTATTATTGAAATTCATTGTTGTTTTGTAAATTTATTAAAGCGAGGTGTGTGTAATTCGTAGACTCTTTCGCTGCCTAGATTGTGCAGTAAATGGTTTTTTAAGTTTAAACAGAACGCTGTGTACATGGTATTCTTTGAAATTTATTGTTGTTATGTTAATTTATTAAAGCGAGGTGTGCGTAGTTAGTAGCCTAGATTCTGCAATTCGTAGATGTTTTTTTAAGTTAAAATATATCGCTGTGTACATATATTTTTGTCAGATATTTTTGGTTAGTAACTTTATATTTTTGCTATCTAAATTTTTTGTTTTTGTGTCGGATTTTTAGCTTAAATTGTGTGTTCAAAACGTGGTTTTTGCATTTGCGAACACTGCGTTCTTGGAGACATTTTAGACTTAAAGTTCAAAATGTAGACAGAAAATTTAGATAGTAATATGGTAGCATGGAGTTTTTCACCAAAAATGTTTGGCGACCTGAGAACGCATATAAGAGTAGTTCCAAATTGCTTTAGTTCAACTAAGGTGGCCAGACATCTCGATTTAGGCGTTACAGTCCGGATTTCAGACTTCATATCCCGAGGTCCTTCGCTTGTCCCAGCAGGATGCCTGTTCCACTTTTCTGCAAAAGAGACTCTTAATGTCAATTAACCCGAATTGGCCGCTACTGCACATTGGTGATGCCTCACTGATCCTTGCTTCCGATAGAGCTATGAGCACTCAGAAATGCAGGCGGCGACCAAGTTAGTGGCTAAGACACAGAAACAGCGTGCGTGAAATATCTGTCGCCAAGCTGGCGTTGAAGTTCGAAGGTCACGTTTATCAAGATTCCATAAAACGAATATTGTTTCAAATTTCTTTAAACTTTAAAGGAAAAGAAAATATTTTTTCGCGTCGATGGGCTGAAATGTTTCATCATTTCAAGGATAAAAACGTGCCACATGCGCAAATCCAGAAAATTGTGGAGTTTTTGTTGTGTCTTCCAGGGACAAATGCCACCAGTAAAAGAGTTTTCTCATCAATGAATATCCATATGGACAACTGAAAAGACACAGTTAAAACTGGAGATACTACAAGCAATGTCAATGGTGAAATGCAATTTTGAGTTTGGCAGTTCTTATGATGAAGTGTATGAAAGACTTCTACAAGAGCTAAAACTTCTTAGAAGCATTCATTCGTCAATGAAATGCATCTACGGAGCACCTACACAGGATGATTCTTGTAGGTCAGCGGCTGATCAGGAAGGCCCATCATCCGCGTCGAATTAATAGGACACATTCAAGCAGTAAGGTTGGTAGGAAGTTAAACTTTTATTTTCCGACTGCTTTTTTTTAAAAATTTTTTGTTCGCTCTTACTGAAAGCATGTCTCAGTCGTCTCAGTTCAGATCCCAAAGTCTGTAATTGTTGATTTAATAATTAATTCAGTCTGAGATATGGATAAATTCTATTTTTTCTTTCAATTATTCTGTCTGTTTAACACACACGCTAATTCGCAAATGATGGGTAATTCTTTACAGGTAATGCTACTTCACTAAAAATTTTGCACTCCGTATTTTCATTTCAGAAGGGGCTTCTGCCCTCTGGAAAATCTGGTCACCTTAGTTTAACTTAATTAGAAAATGCAATATTTATTATTATATTAATAACACCGTATTATTTTATAAATTAACTACAGAACTATTATTTTAATGCAAAAAGTACAGGTGGGAGTAAAAAGGTGACTATAAGAAAATAAAACTTAACTTTTTTATAGTTGATAACTTAAGTTTTAAACAGAATAAAAAAGTTAAGTTTAAAACAAAGTTTTTTATTCTGAAATAATCCCCAAATACTTCACATGTTAATTTATTGGTATTTCTTCGATTTAATTTATTTATTTTGAAAACCCCGTCTTGCATTTATTTTAGTTGATTTAATTTTTTTGATTAGCAATGATCATTTATAAGTTTTATGATGTCTTGTAATTTGTTTAACTAAATATTTAGGTGGTTTCTTATTAAAATAGCTACTATGATTATTCCAAAACTGAGAAATTTATTTGCCAAATTAAATCCATGCACCTGATGAATATGGCGAGGTGCTGCTGTGGTGGCTGTTTTAATTGGAGGCTAATCACATTTACATTTGTCACTTTCATCATCGTTATCAGTGACATATTTTGGTATCATGTTCCCAACTGAAGTAGGGATATTATTAATGGAAATATTAAAAAGTACAGGATCCAGGCTTATTCCTGGGACATATCTGCTCTGATTAATTTATTCTCTTGATTAATTTATTTAGAATTTCTTATTTTAATTTGAAAACTTTTTTATTTTGAAATATTTTATAATTGCTGGAGGACAGCCAATTTTTGCTATTTTATAGATAAGATTTTTGCACCATACATTTTCAAAAGTATTTTTTTAACTAAACAGTAACTAGAAACAAATTTTTCTTCATTGAAAGCATCTTCAGTGATCTCTACATATTGCTCATGAACAAAATATAGTAGATAATATAGATACATTGAAAGTTATGATTTATGTACCCCTGAGGGACTATTGTTTTCATTTTGCGTCGAATTGCTCTGAATGTCCATTTCACTTTTCAAACTGTTGCCACCAAATATTATTGCCCTGTATTATATTTGAAGAATCTGCATAAAAATGTATGTTTCTCGCATTGTGATAAAATGATGCGAGAAAACCTAGATGGTACCTAGAGTCATCAAATTTTGAGTAACGTAATCCTACTGCTAAAATGTTAAAAAAAAAAACGCCCCTGTGGACATAATTTAAAATCTGAAACCTTTCATATTTTCTTCTTTTTCTTAATATATTTTTATTTTTTAATAAGCCCTGATTTTTAGTTATTTATTTATTTACTCATTTGTTTACAGCTATGGATGCTTCAAAAATCTTTATGATAAAATCAATGAATATGAAGGTGGCTTGATCGAGTTCTGTCGCAGCTACAAACACTTTGGAATCCATGTAACAGAGAACAATGGCATTCGATGCCGAGAGTGGGCACCTGCAGCCGAAGCTGTTTACCTCAGGGGAGAATTCAGTATGTAACTTACCTTATTTTGTAATTGTATTTATGACTAAATGTTTTCCATATATAATAGGCTATTCAAAGTAATAATGAAATTGGATGTATTTCCAAGTATATAAAGCTTAAAATTGCCAAAGTATTATTGATAATCATGTATTATGCAATCTACTGTTTTTGTGAATTCTTTATTTTTCAGATGCCAACATTAAAATTGGATATTGTTTCAATCATTTCTTTTTATTGTCATTTTGTCTCTTTTTCAAATTTAATAGTAGCATTTTAGTAGTGCCATCAAAAAAATAAATAACTGATTAAAAGTGGTAGATTGCATTCTCCATGATTTCCATGTTATTGATAAATAAAGTAAATTAATGACATAATATGTTTTTAACTATTTAAAAATGCATTGACATTGAGGGTTTTTGCAGACAGTCTGCTTTATCAGCCTAGGTCCAAATGAATGGTAATTTCATATTTATCTTCTTTTAAAACTGTTGCATTCTTTACGGTCTCACAAGATTGCTATACTTTCTTGGATGGACATCCAGATGTTCAGGAGATTAAAGGATAGTTCTTTTAACCTTAAAAACAAATGAACCATCTGCTTTAAGCTTGCCATTCATGAACGAGACAAATTTTTTCTTACAAATTACTTACTTTTACTGTGTCTATGTCTATATACCTATATCTATCTATAATAAACCTTTGCCGAATGCATACATGCAGAATGCGATTTCTTAATTGTGTCCATTATTTTTTCCATCATGATAATTTCAGTTTAATGTGATATGTTGTACGTGTTGCAGTTTAACGTGATATGAAGTTTCATTCATTACAGAAGTCAAATGTTACTGAGAAAAGCAAAACCTGAACTTATAAGTTCTTTTAATTCTAAATAACATCCAGGACATGGTACTGACAGCCTTACAACATTGCATCCAAATACAGAAGTTTTATTCTTCCATCAAATACCACTTCATTAATCCAACCAGTTGATCAAGGAATTATAAAAGCATTCAAAGTCTGTTATGTCCAGCATGTTTACATCTTTACAAATAAAGCATTAGACGTTGGAGAGTATAAAACACTAATGTAATTTTGGAAGCAATTCAACTTAAGATGTTACATAGGAATGACTAAATTCACATAAAAACAAGTGAATTCATCAACAAAGAATAATTGCTAGCATCAGCGCCGGCCAGAAGTTATCATCAATTTCAAAAGATTTCCATCATTTGAAAATGAAGCGAAGGAAATTGTACAAATTACAAAAGCAGTAGATGACAAACGATTTTCAGATATGGTAGAAAGAGAAATGAAAGCATTAGTCAAGAATGACAAATGCAGAATTGGATGACTTATAACATTAACAGATGATGAAAGCAGGGATAGTGGAGGTATATACAAGAAGTTATACAAATTGTTAAAAAAGGCACAGCAACCGTCTGCTTTTGTAATAGAGATTGACTGAAATGGAGATGAAAGAGAACAGCTTATAAGAGGTATTTGAAAACTTTACACTCCTTACTGTGAAGCATTTTATAAGTTGCATAAGACATTGTCCCAACTAAAATCGCCAGATATTTAAAAAAATATATAATTATATCATGTACCTGCTTTTTAAGCAGTAGTAGAAAACATTTCAATTAACATTTGTTTCACTTTTCTTTTTTAATTACCATAATATTTACGTTTTTATATAAATTATACATAATCTGGACCAGCGGTCGTCAACCCTTAGAACTTCATGAACCACTACATATATAATTTTAATGTTTGGTGGGCCACTAATATGAATTAAAAAAAATAAATACATTTATACAATAATAATTATCAACCTACACATATTTCGTTCACATTAAGAAATTACATGAGAAGTACAAAAATCTTACCTTCTTGTACAGAAAGCTTCATATTTTCATATCACTGAGAAGGAACTTCACGAAAAGCAAAAACAAATCTGCAAACACAAAGGAATATCAATAAACTGATAGTGTTATGCCACCAATTTTTAATTATTGTAAACATAATAATCATCGCTTACTCAGCAATGACGCCATCAATCAACAGTCAGACAAAAAAAAAAAAAAAAAAAAAAAAAAAAGAAGAGAAAAAATCCCGAAAACTTCCAGTGATGGAATAATAAACAAGAATGCAGTTAGTTCTTATAAAAATCCATTAAGTTGCCTATTGACATGGAGAAAAACTGTGTTACTAACAACTACAATAGCATATGTTTTTAATTCAAAAGGAAAGAGAATTCGAGTTTGCGCTAATATTGATAACATCAGCGTATCCATGGATGCCAACTCACTTTCAAGTGTCGCTAGATACACCTGCAAAAGTAGCTAAAATGTCGCTAAATTCAGAAGGAATTTCGGTAAAAGTTGTAGCTAAAATTAAAAAAAAAAGTATAATCCATATTCCATAATAGATTTGTTAGTCGTCATTTTTTAAACCGAATCTTCATAAAAATATAAATAATGTCCCAATTTTTCTGCGGACCAGCAAAAAGCACAGACCGCCAGTTGGCGATCTCTGATCTGGACTTTACCTAACACATTTTTGATTCTGCCATATTACACAATAACGACAATGCTCAATAATGTCATATGCACAATGACCTCCGCATTCCGCAAGAGTTTAGTGTATATTTAAATTTATATATCTATTTGCCTATCTCTATGTATATAGTTAAAATTGCAGTTTTAAATTCAAAACTTGGTTAATACAAAAAAATTAGATGACTGGAAGAGAGTGACCCATCCTTTCCGGAAGCTTGACTTTGGAAAATGGGAGCTGGAAATCCCTCCAAATCCTGATGGATCATGCCCTATACCTCATAATAGTACTATAAAGGTAAGTAAAATATCAATTTTATATAAATTAAAGTTTTAGGAGCATTTAGGTAGGGTGTGAATTATAGTACATAAAGAATGCTACAGAAAGAAAATTAAAATCTATCATTGGGATACTTGTTTCTGTGAAGCTTTCTGTTATCTTTGTTGTAAAGGATAGGGTATATTGTATTTCATCATTTCTGAAGCATTAATTTTTCTACTTAAATATCACTAAAAGTGGAATCAGTCTGAGAATAAATGACATCTTAAAACTGCATATTTTTCTATAATATAAATGATTCTGAAGTAAGTAATTTTCTCAAATCATTAATTTGATAGGTATATCATTATAACAAAATTTAAATCTGTTATTAAAAAATATTTGCTAGATGTAATTTATATTTTACTTATTTTATTTTTTAAGGCTCTAAATCTGCTTTTTTTTTTTTTTTTTTTCTGTTGATGGTGATAATGAAATTAAAAGATGTATCTAATCTTATAGTTGATGACATATTAAAAACAGTATAATGTTCTGAAAGATTTAAAAAAAAATAAAGTATATGCAACTTTAAAAAAAAGACATCTTATTTACAGCTGTATAAAATATTCATTAAATTTTTGTGGAGGAAAAAGTAATTGGTTGATAATAATGAGAAATAGCTGTTTAAATATATGCATTTATTCTTTTAGATAATCTTTTTTATTCAATACCATATTATTAGTAATGATAATATGGTATTGAATAAACCTCTCACTGCATACTTTTTTATCAAAATAGTTTAAAAAATTGTGTATTTTTATTACATATTTCAAATCTACATATATTTAGAGTTAAAAAAATATTTTAAGAGTTAAAATATATGTAATTTTAGAGTTAAAATATCCAAAAATTTTTTGTAAAAGAGTTTTTTTTTTAAATATAGAATTAAATCATAGAAAAAGGTTGTCAGAATACTGAAATTGAAGAATAATGATACAAAAGGAAAATTTTGAAAATTAATATTGGTTAAATTATGATTTATTTTATAAAAATGGTAAAACATATATAAAAAATATAATGGTAAAACATATATACTAATGAAAATATTTACGTAATGTAATATTTTGCATATCAGTTTTGCACCACTGTCGAACATTTTCAGTAGAAACTGAATTTTCAGATTCATCACTGCAGAGGAATCCGAGAAATTCTCATCAGTTTTGCTATAACTATCTTCAATATACTTGAAATTAGAGTCAGAACTACTATCAAAGTCGGAAATATCGTCAGGAATATAGGTTATATCACTCGCGAAATGCTTCCTGCCAGACATCTTTGAGCTCTGAAAATGCTACATTACGTATTTTTGTATATTTGGCAGAAATGTAGACAACTAACACCACTTGTTAGCCCACATCTAAATAAACAATTAAACATCACAGAAAAGCCAAAAGGAAACCTTGAACGGGGAAATAGTGGGCTGCACAGTTAAATAGACGGCAAAAATTCTTCCTCGTGGAAATCACGGGTTGCACAAATTTTGCTACTTCTACGTTGTCTGTGTAAATCATGGGATGCGCAGCAAGAGGGTTAATAAGATGTAATCATACAAATTTTATTTAATCATAGTAAAATCAAATTAAGAAGATTTCAAAAATAAAGAATACAATTTATTAAAAGGGGGAAAAGTAAAATTATGAAGATTGCAAAAATAAAGAAACATAAATTATTAAAATGAACTTGGAAAGCCCATGATTTGTGGCAAGTTGTCTTGAAGGTATTATACTGTTATTTAATATTCATGTTGAGCTATCTTTGTGAAAATCCATTATGTATTTTTTAACTAAAGTGACAAAATTAAATAGATATAATTACATACTAAAATTCAGAAAACATAAATTTATAAAATGAAAAATAAAGCTATATATAATGATAAATCAGGTAAAATACTGAGTCTTCATTTAATTTTCTTTGATGATGAGAATCCTTTCATATATTTACTACATGAAGAGACAGAGATATCTGTATCATTTTCACATGATCTTATATATATAAGTAAGTATAGTAGAGATATGTCAGTTTTCTGTTTCATATTAGATGGTGAAATGCTACTTATCAGTAGACTGGATGCTGGTAGAGTGTGTTAACATTATTTTTTTTCCTTATGGTTTTTATATACCTCATAAGCAAATCTGAAAAGTGTTTGTTGTCTTGCTGAAACCAAATGAAAGTAAATGCATTAAAATTAATAAATTTCAGTTATGTGAGCAGTGTTCAAAAACCTCTTTTGGGCTTTAACGCTTGTTTCCTAACCATTATTTTGTAACAAATTTGTGTGCTAACAAGCTCCTTTGGTGTGCTTTCGAAATTTCGTCTTTTTAAACATGTATTTTCTGCCATTTGAGATGACTTTTTTAAACAATTTATTTTTTCTGAAGCCACTGATGTGTTTTTAATTTTGATATGTGCTGTCCCATATCATCAACACTTGTGAGAACTTTGTTAAAAATCCTGTTACATATTTTCAGAAAACATTAAATTATTTTAAGAAAAACAGGCAAGTATCAATTTTGTATCATTGTATTAGTACAAACTTCACTTTAATGTTAATGTAATTTCATAATGATAACTCGATAAAATCATTCATAATGATAACTCAAAACATTGTGTTATTAATCATGAATATTCAGTCAATTTGTATCATCTTCTGAAAAGATTGGAATCATTGTCGTAAATTTCAAAATCTTTGTTTAGAAAGTTGATCAAATTTACAGTTGTCTGCCCCATGCATTAAGAGACTTACAGCTGGAAGCATGACTGGAAAAACTGAGTTTGCCTTGTAGGGGAGAAGGAATGCTATTAAGGTTTTTCTTTATTCATAAATGCTATGATTTATACACCTGCATACAGTGAACTACACTATTTTTTAAATTAATTTTTTTCTCCCTGTACATTGAATTCTGCTATAAGTGGATGTTCAGAAGTTGTATTAGTTTCAGAGGTGCCTATGCATCAGTTACAAAGACAGATATAAAAGTAATGCCACCTAATTATTCAGTTAGAAAGGTGATATATGTTGCAGTAATATGTCTAGCATCATGTATACTATTTTTCTTAGGTATTTTCAAAATTAATCATGCTGTTATTTCATAGCTAGTTGTACTGACTGCTGCTGGTAAAATGGAAGATCGTCTTTCCCCATGGGCAACATATGTTGTACAGCCTCAAAACTCAGTAGTCTATGATCAGAGGTTTTGGAATCCTCCTGATAATGAGGTAGGTGAGTATGTCTTGATTAAAAAATATCTGTAGTAGTTTTCTTTCTAAAACTGTTCAAGGTAAATTGGATATGTTTGCACTGAAAAAATATTAAAACATGCATATAGTAAAATCACATTCTGCAAATTTCAGATTACAATCAAAACTCTCAGAATAGTGTTTAATATCACATAAGTAAAGATACTTTATTTTGAGAGTTTAAAAGATTAACTCCTTTAGACTAAAACTTACTCAAAAAATAGTTTACATTAATTTAAAAAGTTCTAGCATCTGTTTTTCATATATAGGATTGTTATATATTGAAAAATATCAAAATGCTGAAGAGTGTATTACTGTTTAGATTAAAATATATCTCTGTATAAAGAGAATTGCACTCTGTTAATTGTAGTAAAATTGATATAACTTTACTACATTTTATAGAATTTTATTGCAACTTATTCTAAAATTAAGAAATGTGGTTAAAATGGATTTTTAAAAGGTTCAGGGATAAGATATAAGAGTATCAATAATAATGTGGAAGTACTTTTTTGATTGACACTAACTACCTACAGTCAAAAGTCTTTAATCCGGACTCGTCAAGAATTCTGGATTATCGGTTTTTCCGGATTATAGATCATCAGTTTAAATCTGGTAAGATGGCATGCAGAAATTATAAAATTAAAAATATGAAACCATAATTTATGAAATAAAGAGCAATTATGATCTAAAGGGTATCAAAATTTACAAAAAAAAAGGCTTAATATTTATTTGTTTACTTTATTAAACATCTCTTTCAACACTCGCATACAAAGCATACATTACACATAGTAGAAATTAGACAATTGCAACCAGAAAACTATTTGATGTTTATTCGTGATATTTATAATGACGAGGAATTTGATTTTAAATCATATGAAAGACGGAGTACGTCGAGATTAAATACTACATTTAGTAAGGAATTATAAGCCAAATAAAATAAAAACATCTGCCCTGAAGATAAGGATAGTGCTGACAGATCAACTTCCAATTCATTGCGTGTATAATTGTTTTCTCATTTCAAATATTAAGTTGGCATGTATATGTTTCTAAAGAAATTGTTTGGCAGGTGTTGCCCTATGATGGATAAAATGTTTATTTTCTATATTAGATTCATGATTTGATAATATGATTTTTTTTTTAATTGCAGAAATATATATTCAAGCATCCTAAGCCTAAAAAACCAGAGAATTTTAAAATATATGAATCACATGTAGGTGTGTCTTCGGAAGAATATGGTGTTGCCAGTTACAGTCATTTTAGTAAAAATATTATACCAAGAATAAAGAAACAAGGTAAAGCTTTCAGGAAATAATTGTATAAGATTTCAAAATCTAAAAGATCTTAAAAATTTTTGATGGAATTTAAAACATTTTTGAATATCTATGAAATGTTACAATTGAATCCTGATGTAATAACTGTTATGGTCAAATGTAGTTCATGTAACTGAAGTAAGCAAAACTTCCGTTTTTCAGATTGTTAGGGATTGTAAATGCAAAGATATTTGCATTGACCAAAGAAGACAGAATTTTAAGAGTGAATATCAGTGGGTAGTTGATGACTTTGACAGAAATGAGAAGAAAAGAGGTCTTTTTCTTTTGAATTGCAATTATAAGCAAAGTTCTGAAAATTGTCAGTGACAATCCTGATTATCAATTTTTAAATGACCTTTTATTAATTTTAAAGGAATTAAATTTCAAATACATAAAAAGAAGGAATAATACACTTAATGGAGATGAAAAAATAGTTCTCTGCAGGATATATGTACAGTAAATTAAATCAATAAGGTAGAAAGGACATAAAACATATTATCTGGATTAAACTTAGCTGAATGTGGGGCATACACTTAGCAAAAGCGGGGCACCTGTCGGGTCAAAATAAATATTTCTTTTTCTGGTCCTATGGTCAGAATAAGACTCATTGTCATTCTTATTGAAAACAAATTCTTTTTCTTTTCCCCCTTTTTTTAATGAAGAGGTTTTCTCATTTTTAAACACACACACAAAAAGGTTATAATCTTTAAAAAACAAAACAAAAAAATCTTTAATATATTTTATTTTGAAAAATGATTCAAAGTTACTCTGACACAGTTCAAGCAGAATGATGCTGTCATCATGGACAGTTCACTGTGCCATTTGTAGGAAAAAGAAATTTCCAAAAGATATCCTAGAGGAAACAGGGAATTAGAGACTGGTGTAAGTAAATTAACACGTTGACTGTCGCGTTCATTTGACGTGGTTTGCCCATGACGCCAACTTGAAATTTTTATTATGCGATGTATATTATGTTGAAATATTATCTACAGAAGATAATGTGAGTTATATAATTGCACTTAATGCATTTTTCGTGGGGTTACCTGTGACCCCCCAGGCGCTGTAGACCATTATTATGATTTATAATTAAAATTTTTATGATTTATTATTCTTCAAACCATTATAGTAACAATGGTCCTAGTTAGAAATTTATCAGTATAGATATTTACTCTAATCATGTATCTTACTATTGGTTGCATCGCCAGTCACCGGTGGCACCCACGGTGCTGTAGCCAAATTGAGTACCGGTCACTGGTGACCCCCACGCCAGTCAACATGCTAAAGAACATTTACCATACCCAAAATATGATAAAAGCCAGACTACTAGAGATGTGGAAGGTAACAAGCAGAGAGATATGACGAACATAGTGTGAATGAAATTGCCAAAAGTCATAAAAGGATGATCCTAAGACTGCTTTGCTGTCGGTGAAAATTCAATCTGAGTGAGTTGATTTGAGCACAGGTGAAAGTTTTAGTTGCTAAAGAGAATAAAACCTTCAAATTGTTAGATATGGAAGAATTTCATAGAAAAATTTGAATAATATTGGAGCTAAAGAATGGAAGAAATGCATTGAAGCTGTTTAAAAGACAGAAAAGAAAAATTGGGACTGCTACCACAATCGATTCTGTTATCATAAGACTTTGTTTCAAAAGTGGTGATTTGTCAAATCTTGATTGTAATATTTCAGTTGTAAAATAAAGTGCTTACTGTGTGCTGAAATTTTCATCTGAAATATTTAATATTTTATGCTGTATATTTTTTACCAATATTTAATATTTTAAATTACATCATCTTTATTATTTGTATTCTGAGATGCAAAATCTTTGAGTTGTAAATGCATTAAAAATTTAAATTTTTCTGTAACCAGTGCTGTTAACATAGTTGCTCTCAAACTTATCTTTATTTCTTCAACTAAAGATTAACCAGAACAATATCTACTGATGCTTTCTTTAGTAAAACTATTTAAATATCTGATATACAAGGTGGTTATAAAGTTCCCTATCTGTAATGTTTAAAAAAGGACTTTGTGTACTGTAAGCAGAAGTTTTACGAAATGGTGCAAGAACACAACTCATGGTCTTATTTTAATCACATTAGCATTTATACAATGCTTGAAATAACCTGGTAAACTGCCAGAAGTAAATATTTTAATAATATATTACAAATATTAATGTTTACATGGAAAAAAAAATCATCCAAGAACAGCTTTGACTTTCATAATTGTATCTCTCATCCACAGAGTGTTTCTTGTAAGGATATTTAATGAACTATCTTTTTACAAATAATTTACATAATTTGAAGTATACAGAAAAAGCAATCACATTAACTACTGAGAAAATCAAACCATTAATCCAAGGCACAAAATGGAAGTCATTTTCACTATCTTTTGTAAGTCATCTTAGTCAAAAGTCAGTGAATGATATTTCTTGTTCAGATTGTATATGAAAATAATCATAATAAAAATAATAAGTTCAAAATTCTGGAAGGTCACACTCTTTGTATATTGAGACTTTAAGTATTTTTTATATATGTAACTAATTATATTTTTCTGTTGCTTTGGAAAATAAAATTTTAATTTCTTATCATATATAGGTTATAATGCAATTCAATTAATGGCAATAATGGAACATGCCTATTATGGTAGTTTTGGTTATCAAGTGACTAGTTTTTTTGCTGCATCTAGGTAAGATCTTTTTAATTAGATTTCAAATTTTTTGCCATCTTTTTTCATTAAACTTCATAAAGGTAACCCCTGAAGAACATGGTACTCGAAGAACTTGATTTTTGAAGAACACAGATAACTTTCCCTGAATTAAATGGTTTCAAACTACACAATTTTCGAGTAATTCTAACTGCAGAAATGTTGACTGCTTTTCCATGAGGTTGTTTCCTCCGTTGAATAGGGGAGAAGGATTTTCCTTCTGGCAGTAAAAAGTTCTGGATGCATTCCAAGTCCATTGTAAGAGTCTTCTCGTCCAGAAACTATTGAATGACCTTTCAGGGGTGAAATTTGATAAGAAATACCTATGTGACATTGTTTTAACTCATTTGAGTATGTATTAAGTGCAGGAGATCTTGAGTTTTGAATTTTTAATATTTTCAATTAAGTTTTTTTTATAAGTGTATGATAAATCAATTCCTAGTTTTTTTGAAACCCTTAAGTTACAATATGTCTGCAAAAAATCAAAAGATAGCTTGAAAGAGGTGTACAATTTCACATAAAACTAAAGTAAAAATTTTGGACTGACTAAAGAAAGGAGAAAAATTCTCAGTTGTTGTAAAGACAGAGAACTTGAAAGAATCTACTTTTGGTACAATAAAAAAGAATGAAGAAATAATAAAAGAAGTATGTGTCAATAGTACCTTTAGGTGTTAAATGAAGTTTTTTTTTTTCAACAAATGTAAATATTATGAATACTGAGAAAGCATTTTCAGTATGGATTGATGATCGTGTAAATAAAAGAGTGCCTTTGAGCAGGAACATTATCAAATAAAAAGTGTGTAAGTTATATAAGCAGTTACAAGAAGGCCAGCAAACTACCACAGAACAACAATTGCAAGTAAAGGCAGGATGGAAAGGTTTAAAGCAAGGTATTCTCTATACAGTGTCAGGTTCCAAGGAGAAAATGCTTCTGCAGACATAGAGGCTGCTGGTAAATTTACAACAGAATTACAAAAAAATGTTAAAATGGATGTTATGCAGCGGACCAATTTTTAATGCCAATGAGACTGGTTTAAATTGGAAAAAACTGCTATCTCATACATATATTTCAAAACACAGAACTCTATGCCTGGATTCAAAATGGCTAAGGAAAGCATCACTCTTCCCTCATGCAGTAATGTATTAGGAGATTGTTGTATGATACGATTATTTATAAAAAAATCAATGAATTGACCTTCATTGAAAAACTTAGATAAAGAATAGCTACCGCCTTATTGGCGAGCCAATAATAGAGCTTGGATGACCTCATCAATGTTTACAGATTGATTTCACAACTGTTTTGCGCCTGATGTAGAAAGATATTTAAAAAAAAGAAAAAATTTAGTTTCCAAGTATTACTACTACTAGACAACACTACTAGATATCCGAAGGAATTAGAACATCCAAATGTAAAGATATTTCTGCCACGAAATACTACATCACTAATCCAGCCACTGGATCAAGGTATAATATCAACATTTGAGGCATATTGCATGTGAATGTCTTTTCAGTCTATTTTGTATAATTTAGAAGCTGCAGAAAATAAGACGTTTATCCAAGTTTGGAAAGAATTTTCAATCTTGGATTACATTAATCTATATCTTCAATCTTATAAGTGATCTTAAATCTTTGACATTGAATGCAAGTTGGTAAGCTGTTTTACCGAATATGATTTTTGAAAACTCCAGTATTATATTTAAACACACCGAATACAATCAGATAATTAATGTTGCACATTTGCTATATGGTACAGGGTTTGGTGATATGTCTGCCGACGTTGATGAACTATTTTTAGAAAAAAACATTGTATGAAGAAGATCTTGTAAGGATTCTAGAAGAATCCAGTTCAAATTCAGTGACTAAAGAAAATAAAGAAAATTATGAAAATATATCTAACCAACAATTTTTTGTTGATGATGTACAATATGCATTACATTTGGCAAACAAATTGAAGATGTTCTTAACAAAAAGGGATCCTTGCAAGGTATGGAAAAGAACATTTGCAGCACAACTCAAGAACTGTATTAAACCATATGAAAATTATTTAGAGAAACAGCAACACAAGAATGAACAATCATGCAATACTGTTAGGTATTCAGATGAAGACAGACCAAGAGACATGGATATTCATCCACCTACTAGAAAATTTACTAGAATCACAAATGTCCCTAAATGACAGTGATAAGGACTAGATGGCGTGGTAATGTAATCTGAAAATCAAAAAAGTGATGCATTGCAAAAATTTTATTTTCTGTTTCTTTTTTCAAAACTAACTAAAAATTAATTTGAATTATGTAATACAAGATTTCTTAGAAGTGTTTACCAATGTGAATACAAAAAATATAATTTTTTAGTTTTTTAGTTAACAAATATATAAATAAATAAATAAAACATAACTTTTTTTACCAATTAAATCATGTTCTTCGGGGTTATATATACTTGATAATTTAAATTAAAAAATGGGACCTTGCTATCAGATCTTTGTATTCAGATTTTATTTAAATAAATTTTATGCAAAACTATTATTAAAATGTGATTATAGCATAAAACTGGAACAGTTTTTTCAGTTATGCTAAACATTTATGATAAGCTTGTTAGTATAAAAGGGAAAATCATTAAAAATTCAAGTTACAGTACATAAAAACAATACTTAAAATATTTGAAGTAACAATGTCAAATGATATAGGAGGGAAAAGAACTTGGTGTGATGTTATTCCACGGTAAATTAATGTTGTTCAGAGATTTATTTTTATTTAATGAAGGAAAAAAAAGTTTTGTGAGATGTAGCTATATATTTTTCATTATTTCGTTTGTATGTGGAATTTGCAACAAATATTTTTAATAAGTGAAGACAACAATTTTTCATTAGCTGCAAAAAGAAATTTATGTAGTAAAACCAAATATATTTTTGTATTTTTTTTATAATTGCAGTCGTTTTGGAAATCCTGAAAGATTGAAGGAATTAGTGGATAATGCACATGCACATGGTCTTTATGTCTTGTTGGATGTCGTTCACAGCCATGCTTCTAAAAATGTTCTTGATGGATTGAATCAGTTTGATGGAAGTAATTCTTGTTTTTTCCATGATGGTGGACGTGGGGAGCATTCTTTGTGGGGTAGTAGGCTGTTTGACTATTCTCAGTAAGTATGCCATGTGAGCTATTAGTGTGAAATTGATCTGAATATTAATGTGAAATTATTATGGAACTTTTTTAAGCATATTAAAAGAATAATTCTTTATTACTATGTACTATTCTGTATTCTATGCAAGTCTTCTAATATAGAATTCCAGCATATTGATTAATTCCTTCAAGAACCTTTGCATAGTTGGTGAAGTCAGTGTTGCTTACACAAAAAAGTTTTACTGTATTTGCATTTAATTAAAATATTTAAACATGAAATCACTATGCAGGAAAAAATTCTTATTTATAAAAGAGATTCAGAAAATAAATTATGTTTGATTATTGTAGGACAGAAAAGTTTAAAAAGTGGTTTCTAAGAATAAGTTATGTTGCATTTGTTTAATTAAGACTTGAAAACTGCAAAAATTATCCACATTTCAATAAGATCTAAACATTATCCAAATTTCAATAAGATCTGAGATGAAACCTAGCAACTGAGAGGGTAGCAGAAAAAATATAGCCAAAATATTGTAAATAAACAGGATACTGAAACTGATGGTTATGAAATGTACACGCTGGAGTCATATTGATGTGATGCCATCAGGTAACATTCAGCGTAACCATTACTTGCAGTACACACAACAGCTAATTGCTGAGTGTATGGTGGGTAATCAATATAGCAAACAACTGGATTGAGGTGCCCCCCATAGATTCTTGATTAGATTTATATCTAGGACATTTTGGGGATCAGAGAAGTACAGTAAAGTCTACTTTTTTACTTTTCCAATCATTGATGTACATTCCTAGATGTGTTACACATTGCATTCTCATGCTGAGGGGGGGGAAGAGAGCTTCCATTCCCAGAGGAAAAGATTTGCATGTGTGGGTTATGGGGTGTGCAAGGATAAATACTTTACTGTGATCCGTCCCCAATAATGAATGAACCAACAGAATGTTAACAAAAATATTTCCCAGATTATGACATTATTATTCGTATTCATCTATAAATGGTTGATGGGTATTTGTTCTCTATTGTTTCTTGTTCCATATGTTGCAGCAGGATTCATTGAACTCTCATTTTAGAGTCTATTGGAGTACTGAATGGTTTATTTGGGTTGTAAATTGCATGTTGATTGGTTTGAACACACTGCTGCAGCTGCTACTCATCTCTTTCAGATATGGTTCATAGCACTGTGCACTTTCTACATAGATTATTTTGTTTAGTGCCATTTTGTCATTCACAGTGCATTTTAACCATAGCAGTTATGAACAGTTCATTTACAGTGGAGTTTCTTAAATTCTGCTACCTTCAGCCTGAAAGGCAGTAGTCATTCTTTTTTGTGAGTTTAATACATTTCTGTGCTTGTTCATGAAAGTAACTGAAACATTTCCTGAATTATACTCTCCGGATATGCTGCAGATATATGTCTTATATCACTGGGTATTTAGCACTGATGCTAAATACAGGAGGTATGCATATTGACAGGATTTGTATGGCCCTTAGAAGTATGTAAAAGTCCTTGGGTTTTTTTTGGGGGTCCAAATCAGCAAAAGGTCCTTGACCTTGCTCATCTGACATTTCTGTCTGTGTTTTATTACTGCCATTTTAAGTGTGAATTAATATTTTAGAGGAATATTTTTCGTTGACAATAATTTATTTGATGGGTTATCATTTGAATTCTTTCCTACTAGTTAATAGGGTATGAGGCCTTTCCTCGATTAAAACATTAACATTTTTATATTTTTTTAGAATAAAAAATTCATGAAATATTACATCAGAAACATTCTTTTCATTGAGGCGGCAAAATATTTACAATATAGGAAGGAACCTGGTGGCAGAATTTCAGAGTCGCATGTTTTTCACCGGATTGCAAAAAGTCTAGCTCAGGTCTTGGCTGTACTAAATTTGGGGATTTATAGACATTTTGGAAATTTCAAGATCAGTTTGTATACAAAATGTTTGATCCAAATATTTAAAATTTCTCTTTCTTTTTTTTTCTTTCTTTCTTTTCTTTTCTTTTCTTTTTTTTTTACAAACATAATAAAATTGATAAATATCCTTTTAAAAATGATAATATATTAAAATTGTAATTAAGAAATAGCATTAAAATAAAACATTTTTATTTTTCCATATTTTAAAATGACATTACTTTCCATTTTGGCAACTTAGAAATATTTTGATTATGAAAAATAAATGAGATAATAAATGCTGTAAAACTAAGCTTCCGAAGTACTTCTTAGAAAAAGAAGAAATACACTTTAGTTATTTTAAAATTAATTTCATTCTTTCATATTTTATCCTTCGAGATTTTTCCCCCCCCCGTGTAGTTGCTTCAGAATATTTAAACATGCATCTGATTTTTGTTTAATTAAAATTCTTATGGTTTTTTGCTCTACTGTTGGCAACCTTCCACCTCAGAAGGTTTAAAAGGATTTAAAAGCAGGATTTATAGACTTACAATCCCGGAAAAATCCGACCAAATAAACGATGTTTTCATGATATTAGCTAGCAATAAATGTATGTTATAGGAAGTTTGTTATGAATTTCTTATTCATAGAAAATTTTTGGGAAAACAAAGTTACTTGAATTTTCTGTAGAAGTCTTTCCTTTAATATGCTTATGCTCCCTTTATTTCTCAAATGTTTTTACTAGACACAAGCATAGAAAATTGCAAAAATAGCTCTAATCTTGTTGCTTGGACAGGAATTTTGCAGAAAAGAATTTTTCTATTAACCCTCTAAGCGGCAAGAATATTTTTTGTGATATCTGTAAGAACGTATATATACATGCATATTAAAATATGCCAAAGAAATTAAGGGAATATATTAAAAGTATACAAATCCAGGTATGAAATACCAGGAGAGTTTTTACATTAAAATAAAATTTAAAAAAATATTCTCATAGTAGTTTTGGAAAATTTGTGCTTTCTCAGCGAAAGCCCAGGCCGCTCAAAGGGTTAATAAAAATAACTGAAACCTGACACTTAAAAAGATTCATCGTTTATATCTCTCTGCACCATACACAAGGCATTTTGCTACTCGTTGCAGTCTGTATGGGGATAGGCAGATAGCCCTTGTGTGCTTTGCCATAATTAAATAATCCAATCCAATCCAGTCTGTATGGGTCCTAAATTCTGCTACCCAATATCTCTTCTAAATTCTAAAAACTTTGCTAGCCTTAAATTTTGTTGATCATAGCTTCACTGACTTCTGCCACACTTGCTTTGGTGCTGACCCTGACTTTATATATTTTCATATTTATTCTGAATACTCATATTACTAAAGAAATAAAATAAGCATCTTGTGTAAATTCTAAATACATGAAGTTTTTTAGAATAACAGAAATCTTCAATTAAATCTGAAATTCTCAAATGTAGATGAAACTTATTGAGAAAGAAATTGCTTACATAAATAGTAATTGTTAAATGAAAAGAAAATTGTTCTTCAAAAAGAGAAAGAAAACTATTCTTCAAAAGTGTATTTTTAAAACATTAACAAATTACAGTATGAAGCAGAGACTAGTGGGAAATTGATTTGCTTGTAAGATTCCAACCTGGGTACCTTTCAGTTACAGCTAAAATTGAGGAACCTTAAGAACTGATATGCGAATAATCACTTGAGTTCGTGAGACAGAGAACAAAACGCGAGAAGGGTTAAATTACCCTTTATTATTCCAAATAAAGTTTAACAGATGATTCCTTTCTTGGAGTTACGATAAAGCCTCCACTTGGGCTTGAACTCTACTAAGAACTAAAACTTAACTAATTTTAACTAAAAAGATATAGCCGAAGCTATCAAGATTCTAATAGAGTTGGCCTCTTAATGCTAAATAATGGTGCAGCTATCAAAGGTTTAAGTACGGCCGAGCGTAATTATAGCTTTAGAGAGAGTATAGCCAAAAAGGCGAACGCACGCTAATAAGAATCTCTGGCACTCTCACCAAGTCAGTAGAACTTCACAGTTAAATACTTCTCCTCATTTGCATTCAGATGCGATTCTGAAAATACATTCTGGCGGAAAGTTGTCAGCTGAAGTTAAGGAAGATAGGAAAGTAACTTAAAGTTAACTGTTAACATAAACCTGAAAAATTAACATAAACCTTACATGCTTATTGGAAAAAAAAAAAAAAAAGATGTTAATGAGAAGAAAATGATGCAAATTATCTAAAATAAAAATATCTTGAAATTTTTCAAATCAAAAAGATGCAAAATATTTTGTTGTATGTTGTTGCTACAAAACATACATTGCTTTGTAGCTTTTTATGTGTAATTATCTCAATATTGTTTTAGAATCAAGATCATAAATTACATGTCTAATTATCTGTATTTTAAGCTGTAAATATTTTTAGATTATGATTTGAAATGGCCTTTTTAGCAGATATTTTTCAGAAATAAAAAAAAATAAGAGTAATTAATAGTGACCACATTAATTTATAATGACTCAGGTATCTAAGTACATATGTAAGTATTTGTACTAAATTGCTCATCCTTAGAAGTTATCTCTGTGTTAAGGTGAGTTATTGTCTTCCTGCATCCTTACTGTGGGCATAAGATACAAAACAAAAATGTAAAAAATTAGCGTAGAACTTTATTCCTTACAGCTAATGCTATTTAAAATAATATAAACAGGCTACCACCTGTGGTGCTTCAGTGGATTATTGAAACTTTAAATACTGTATATTAACTGAAATCTAACTGCAGCAACTCTACACGAAGCTATGACACTAACTGGGTCAGATAGACAAAGCGCAACTAACACGTACCAATCTTGCCAGTAGCAGGCATTCTTGTCTTTTCTGATCAACTTCTCTTGTAGCAAGAAGCAGCAGTCAGCAACAGCTAAGCTTTTGTTACAAGTCATGCAGATTAATATTTTACATGTCAGTTTAACTTATACCACTTGACAAAATTTGAATAAACCTCTGGACTTGGCGAGTACATGATGAAAAGAGGCATGAAAGAAAGAATCATTGTAAAACTAATTGTTAGTAAAACTTAAATGTCACAAATAGTTTTTTAAGGAATTTTGTAATTTGATGCTAAATTACATGATAAAGTTTCTAAGTTGATTTTATTCTCCAGTTTGTTTTATAGTTATGTTAAGTGTTATTTTTTAATAATAATATATCCTACTTACAGATTTATGTTGTTCTTAGAATGCTATTACAAAAGTGATATTCGGGTACAGATAATTGCCTTAGTTTATTCAATTCCCTTTGCTGACAGACCATTGATATTTTTCATTAATGGTCCTGAAAATTCTTTAAAAATACTTAATTTCAGTGTGCAGAAATATGTACAAACTCCTGATTAATGTGATTCATTACATTGTACACAAAGTCTTGGCTCTGTTTATCTCAGGAATCCGGTCTATCACATAGTACATGTCAAAGAAGCTGCTATGAAGCAGGCCTGTATTCCTAAAAATTCACAGTTATTCATGAAGCGATACAGACTGACCATAAAATATCCACACATTTGTTTCAGCAATTTATTGCTGAAAGTTCTGGAATATTCCAGCACACATGGTATAGTCATTAAGCTTGGTTTCACTTGTCAGGGTGCATGAACTAATAAAACACATGTTTATGAAGTAGTGACAATCAGCATGCAGTTGTTGAGGAATGCCTTTGTTCACAGAAGATGGGTGTATTCTGTGCAGATACTGCTTCATGAATTTGTGAAATAGCTGATGAGGAGCTGGCATTTGGCTTGTACCAGGAAGATGGAGCAACATGCCACGTCTACATCTAGCAGCGAGTATGACTGTAATGGATTATTTTTTCCAGATTTGACCCCCTTGCCTTTTTTTAATGAGATTGCCTTAAAGGTAATGTCTACAAGCACAAAACACGCACCATCGACGAGTTAGTAAGAACATCTGCCATGAAATTCAGGCAATGATGCTCAATACTCTGGCAGTAACATATGCGAACATGTATTGCTGTGTTCAGCTGTGTATACAGGTGGGAGGAGATCATTTCCAGCACCTCTTGTGATGTTCTTTCATTTCTCAAACATAAGAGTATGTCAGGTAAGAATTTGGTTTAATTTCCTTTTGTTAAAAGATTTTTATCACACTTTTTCCGGGGTCCACCTTTGAGTGTGACGCTCTGTTTAAATGGAATACCTTTATTACTGTTAAAAATAAATAAATAAATAAATAAATACGAAGTAAAAAACAGTTTAAAACTTAATCCAGTTGCGTTGTTTAAAATTCCTCCCATATTCGATTCGGAATAAACATATGCAAATAATAATAATAATAATAATAATAATAATAATAATAAAGCACAGTGGCAAACTGGCAGGAAAAGGGGGCAGAATATGTCAGAATCAAAAATGAAACAAGAAATTTATGTTTTTCATTGCATCTTCTTCAGGGGGTTGGTGCAATGAAAGAATTAAATCAGTCGGCTTGTTTTTGAACCAGGAAAGACACAATCTCAGAGAAACAATGTAAAATAATCTGTATCTTTATCAGTCCAGTCCCTTCAGGCTGAAGTAAGCGGTGTAAATTCCAAAATTATAGCATCAAAAACATAAAAAATTTAAAAACATTATTTTGAGTAGAACGAGTCCGGAAAACAAAACATCCAAGTATAAGGAATTTAGTACATAAAAAAATAAATGTGTGTGTAAATTTTGAATCCATACATGTCAGGTTAAGAACTTTAAAGAAAAAAGTATCAATTATCAAAATTATAACAAGCAAAAAAGTTTAAAAAATATAATAATTTCAGTTTAAGTGGACTGTGTCCAGAAAACATGTAAAATGTAGTAAAATGTATATAGTTCAACATAAGAAAATATGAACTAATATTATAAAAATTTAAAAAAATCTGATTTAGTTTTTAAACTCTTATGTCAAAGCAAAAAAAAAAAAAAAAAAAAGTTTTGAAATAAAAAAAAAAATATGTATTCATTCTGTTTTGTAGCAAAATACCATTTAAGTCTATATGTGCTAAGTCATGATTTAGATAAACTACAAATTTTAAACTGATTAATAATAAAATTAATTAGAAAAACCTCTACTGTAGTATTAAATATGGTATAGTGAAAATGCTGAAACAAAAATGAATTATTTTGCAAGATAAAAAAGAAAAAATCTACAAAATACCTGGATTACAAATTTGAAAAGAAGTATTCTTTCGTATATATTTACTGTGGAGAAAAAAAATTTCCTACTCTGTATTAGCTCTTGCAAGAATATATGTTTCACCTTTGTCGTAAGACTTGAAAATAGTTTTGTACTTTAAAAAATTTCTTAAGAATATGGAATTTGATGTACCTTTAACAGTATTTTCTTATTTATATAGATGGGAAGTTTTGAGATTTCTGTTATCTAATCTGTGCTGGTACATGGATGAATATCAATTCGATGGATTTCGATTCGATGGTGTGACATCCATGCTGTACCACCACCATGGAATAGGTGCTGGTTTCAGTGGGGACTATAATGAATATTTTGGTTTGGCCACAGACACAGAATCTGTCACATATCTTATGATGGCAAATTACATGCTAAAGACTTTATATCCTGAATGTGTCACTATAGCTGAAGTAAGTTACTGTTTCTTTAACTGAGTTAGAAATGCATGGAACATACCATTTTTCTTCTTTCATTCTTAGCTTCAGTTAAAAAGTTCGACAAAACTGTTTTTATTCTTCTTTGATGCAGTCTTGTGGAATTATGAAAGAACATCCATGTATATATATTTCTGTTTTGTTTAGTCTTAAGATATATGTGTATTTACCAGAAATCACTTACAATGAACTTAGTCAGGTGGTAATCAAAAATATAAGTAATTATAAATAAAAAAATCTGATGTGTACACCGCATGACTTCCTTGTACGGAATATTAAATTATACGCATTTTTTTCTTGAATTTCATTTAAATTGATTGGATTGAATTAAATCTACTTCGTTGACAGCGCATAAACCACAATAGAATAAATGCACTCTTTAAAATTCACTATATTTGTTTACTATAACGACACTCTGAATGCACAAAAGTTATATCATTTGAAGAACTATCGTTGCCACATGTTCTATTCAAATACTATAATAAAGCTAAAACGATGTATGAAAGAAATTAAACAAACAAAACAGAAAAGAAACAGTTTTCACAGGCGATTGAGTATTTCTCATTCAATTAATTCAGTTCTCACTTCGGGACAAGGCAAAAATACATAAAAACTCAAAATATCTGTATTAAAAATTATGAAGTAAATCTTAAACACTTATTTTCTCGAAAAAATTCCAGAAAGGATTAAGCATGATTTAATTCGCAATAATAAATGAAGGCGTTATTTTTGTGTTGCGAAGCTTAGTCTCTCTAGATTGGCAACAAATCTACCATTCTGCTGTTTCAAATGTAAACAAATATGTCCGCCATGTTATATAAAACTTAACCGCACTTAAACAGCTTTTAATTTGTTGATAATTGTACAAATATTGCTTCCAGAATTACAAAAGGCATAAAAACCTTAACCGAAAGATAAAAACAACATAATTCAATCATTTTTAAAGCAAAAAATGTACAATTTACAAACATATAAGAGTAAAGAAACTGAGATCACTGAGCCGAGTAACAGAGTGGATATATATATAAATATATTTATATACGTTTGGTGCGCCCGATTGCAACCAAAATACGAGGTGCACATCTACGAGGGCTATCCAGAAAGTAGATTACGTTTTGGAATAAAAAAATAAACAAAGTATAGGAAACAAATTTTATTATATACAGATGAAAGCCACACTCAAATACTACTTTTCTACATAGTCACCATACAAATTAAGGCATTTATCGTAGCGATGTACGAGCTTGGAAATTCCTTCGTCGAAAAATTCGGCCGCCTGCGCCTTCAACCACTTCGTTACCTCTTCTTGCCTTCCATCTTGCACAAAACTTGTGGTAACCAAGCTTTTCGCTGATGATTTCGTGCAACAAACTTCGCGAAATTTGTGGAAAACTCAAAGAAAGTTCCGTTATTGTGAAATTTCGATTTTCACGGACTTTAGCATCGACTTTTTCGAGAAGTTCGGCGGTCACTATGCTGGGTCTCCCACTTCGATCTTCGTCGTGAACATTGGTTCGGCCATTTTGAAATCTTATGACCCACTGACGCACTCCACCTTCAGTGATAATGTTGTCCCCATACACTTCACGAAGCTGCCGATGCGATAGATTTCTATCGGTTTACAGTTTTTTGCAGTCAGAAACCTTATTACTGAGCGCACCTCGCAGCTCGCGGGATTTTCAATTAACGCAGACATTTCAAACCGTCACAGTATCTGAATGGAGCACAGCACGAACCTCTCACTAGCACGGCTAGATGCAGACTGAGCTGCGCAACGCTCTGACCCCAAGATGGCCGCGCTAGCCCCGCCCCTAGCGGACACAGACGGAAACGTAATCTACTTCCTGGATGGCCCTCGTACATGTTATAACAGTCCTATATACAAAATTTCAACATTCTGAGGCTATTTGTTTTTGAGTTATGCAAGATATGTACGTACGTACGTTCGTACAGACGCCACAAAAAATTCTCTTCAGAATTAATTTTAAAGAAGTTTTATAATTTTTTTGGAGGAAAAGAGTCTTTTATTCTGTCCTTACGTACATATATCACGCAAAAACATCGTTAAATTGCATTCGATAGCGGTCAAAATGGATATTTTCGTTGAAATATGTTGCCTGAAACTTTTACGTTCGTACGTTCGTACAAACGCCACGAAAAATTCTCTTCAGAATTAATTTTAAAGAAGTTTTATAATTTTTTTGGAGGAAAAGAGTCTTTTATTCTGTCCTTACGTACATATATCACGCAAAAACATCGTTAAATTGCATTCGATAGCAGTCAAAATGGATATTTTCGTTGAAATATGTTGCCTGAAACTTTTCACGATTACAATACTTCCTTTTTACTTCGTACAAGGAATTAAAAAATAAAATTAATAAAAGAAATAGGGAGGAAAAAAGAAAAGGAAGGAGTGGGTAAAGAAAAAGCATGTTAGCAATCAAGCAATATGATTTTTAAACCCAGAGTTTGACCTGGGTTTAAAACTGAGGACTAGTTGGGTAATTTTTAAGTATTTTTCCCATGTGTAATATAAGTCAGTTTCCCATATAAATGCAAGTCAATTTCCCATAAAGAATTCTTTGCGAAGACCTCTTTTCCATTTGGTAGATAGCCATCAAATGCTTTGCCATAATCCAAGTAATTGGATTGAGACCAAATGAAACCAGATTATCATATAAGGAAACTTACTCTTAGATGAACCCCATTATAAGATGAACCACTATAAGATAAACCAGATATTTTTAGCATTCTTTGGAGGTGGTCATATAAAAAATGGCTGTTTTGGTGATGGCAATTATTAATTTATATAAATAAATAACTAATCTCGTTATTTCTTAATTTTTGACCTACCTTATATTCCAGCACATAATGCACACCTTTAATTTCAAATTACATTAAAAAATTTTTAGGTATATTTGTTGAATAATGAGCACCGTTTTCTTAATGAAGAAACTGAAAGATGCATCTGTGATGCTCTTCCTTATCTTTTAAGTCATTCTTCGAAATATTTTTCCTAGGTTTTTGAACAAAGGTATACTGAATTGACAAGCGATAAAGGGAGCAAAATGCCTGAGGAAATAAATAATTCTGCAAAGAGGGTGGTTTGTATTCGTTGTAGGAGTGCACAAGAATGTTATGCTAGGGTTTCGCAAAAAAAAGGATCATGATTTGGGGTAAGAATGCACTTCCAACCCAATTGAATTCCTGAAATTAGGAGTCAGATGTTTCCTCTTTCAGTAGTCATTTGAAACCTTGATTTTGAAGTAAACATCAAAGCCATTAGTAAATCACATTTGCTTTAATTAACATACAGTTGATATAATGTTCCTTTTAGTGATAAATATGGCTCCCACCAAACAAAACACGCAGTGCTGATTTCAAATGCAAAGTCATTCAATTTGCGAAAGAAAGTGGAAATTGTGCTGCAGCAACTGGTGCTGGTCAAAGCTTCATACGAGAGTAGGAAAAAACACGAAATCAGAATTATTAATATGCAAAAGACTAGTGTATTTCGGAATGTGCTTCAGAATAATGTGAATTAAATGTACATAAGAATGTGCCAAAAAATATACAGTGTAGTCGATTTATGGCACGGAATAATTTAGTTCTTATGAGGAAAATCTAAAGTTTTGCTAAAGCTTCCAAAAGATTTCGACAACAAATTGATAATTTTCTAGAAATATGTTATTGACCTATGAAGGAAAAAAAAATTACTGTCACATATTGGAAACATAAATGAAAATGCTGTAATGTTTGATATGATAGGAAATAACACAATTGGTGTGAAAAGAACAAAAGCAGTTCATATAAAAACATCAGGTTAAGAAAAATCTCATCTTACCATAAGCTTTCCTGCTTAATGGACAATATAAAATTAAAACCCATGGTTACTCTTAAAATCAAGATGATGTGGAACCGTAATATACTTAACAGTATTATCATTTATGTTCACAAAGAAGGGGTGGATGGGCAAAAATGGTGGGAAACTGGGTCTAAGAAATGTTTGGCAAAACCATCCTGTTTTTTTTTTTTTTTTAAAATCCAGAAAGTCTTTTAGTTTAAAACATGTTCAAATTTCATTTTATGCTTAATATAAAGAAAATTTTGAGAAAGTGTAATATAGACTAGACAGTATTCGAGGTGGATTAACAGAATTAGTTTGGTCTTTAGATGTGTGTGTGTGTGTGTGTGAGTAAACCATTCAAAGAAATTTAAAACAACAATAGAATTCGTGGATGGTGGAACATGAAAAAACATATACAAAAGAAGGCCAAATTCACATGGCAGTCTAAAAATAGTATGTGATGGATAATAAAAGTCTAGAATGACATTAAATCTGACATAATTCAAGTCATTTAAAAAATGTAGTATATCTGAGAGTCTAGGTGAAATATAAGATGATTATTTATTTATGGACCAGAGTAACAGAGATGGTGAAATGAAACAGAATTCCATGATGTAACTGAAGATATAATAGAAGACAAATATGATGAACTTTTCATGTTATCTGATAATGAAAATTTTTAAGTTTATAATGTATGTCATTTCTTTTAAATAAATACCATTTAGGTACATGTTAGACATTTAATTTTTGTATGCTTATTTTTTCTTTATTTTTAAATCTGTCATTTTCATATCCGGTGTATAATGAATACCCCTAAATTTTGATCTTATTTATTGCATTATAAGTGCACGTTATATGCTGGAATATATGGTAATTGTTTTTACTTATTGAACAGAATATATCCATCTAAGATTTTTAATTTGAATACCATTATACTTTCAGCTTGGACATATTGACATTTATGAAACATATTGGTCATAATGAATTGTTTATCATTAATAGTATTTTTTTCTTCTAAACTGAATCATTGGTATATTGCATCACTCTTATGCTCTGTTTAATTTGCATTTGAATTTCTAAACTGTAACAATTTATTGTACATTAAATAGTAACAATGACTCATGTTGTCAAAGTTATACATGTTTTTGAAATCATAATCTTTTTATTAGTTGCAACCAATGTGTAATTTCAGTGTGCACTGGTTGGAGATGGAATAATTTTTTAAATTAGTTCAAGAACGTAATGAATCATTAAAATGTGCAGAGGTAAGGATAAATTTCCAGAAACATATAGAAAACTATTTTTCATAGAAAAAGAAGAAAAATTTCTGATTATCTTCATCCCTTTCCTACAGAATTGCCAACTACAGGCAGCTGTTTTTTTTCCAAGATGCAAAAGATGACAACTATTTTAAAAAATGGTGCCCTGCTAAGAATTCCATTAAATAGCAACCAATTCACAAAATTAAAAACATAAGAAATACTTATAATAATAAATTTACACACTTATTTATTTAAAATAATTTTACATTAATTCTAAATAAATAAGGGTGTAAATAAGTATGTTTGCTTATTATTTAAATTACACATTTATTTATTTATTTTTTTGCACTTTTACACAGGTACTCCCCAGGTACACAGCAATTCATTAAGTAGCTTTAAAAACAAGAGAATTGCTTAAACTTGGCATTATGCATAACTTGGTCCTGCACCTCATGTGCTCAGTGATCTGTTTTAAACCCATAGAGAATTGCATTTAAGATGTTTTGAGTTAGATGTTGTAACTCGAATAAAAAGGGGATTTTTCATACCCAAATTTTGATCCATGAAATTCGATTATTTATACATTTTCATGGAAGGCAAAATTTTGCATTCTCTGCTGATGAACAAAATACCTTATTTCTGAAGAAATGCAATGCATTCTGTGAATATATATTTGTTTCATCATCCATGAAACTTCACAGTCCTATCACAATTCTTTGGGGGGGGAGAAAGGGGGAAAAAGAAAAGTAGTTGAATGCAACAAAAATTAACACTAATAAAAAATGTGATAGTTGAATTTGAAGAGATAAATAGCTTTTATCTGCTGCATGTGTGCATATCTGTGTTGCTGCTTAAGTATATTTTGGTAATATCATGGATAGCTTATTTCAGTGACATACTGCATTGCTCTGTGATTATATTTTGGAGGGAGGTATATGGATAACCAGAAAGAAAAAAAAGTAGTTTTTCTGACGGAAATATATTTAGTTTATATAGTATTTTCAATTTTTTACACTTTTAATGAAATTAAAATGATTGTTTTTAATGATTACAAATAAATGCGATGGGGTTAAGTAGTCTTAGTAGAGAAAAATATAATAAACAGTACCAGTGTTTGTTTATGTTCTTAAAAATTTTAGTTGCTTTTAATGGTGTTTTTTTTTGGGGGGGGGAGTGGTCACTACAATTCCAGCTCGTTATATTATAAACCAGGTTTCACTTATTACTTAAAATTGTATTTTTAATGTTTATGAATGATCTCTAAAATGCATGTCTCTAGTAGTAACAAAAGGTGAATTATTATTTAAACTTAACATAGGTTCATATGCCACCAGTACTCAGATCCAGCTATCCTGATTTTATTAATGATGAAAATGACTCCATTTTATATACTCTCCTGCAGAAGAGAGCAAAAGGCAGTTCTCAACACACTGGTCTTTTCATATAAAAGCCATATTTATGGAGTCTTTGGTAAGCAATAAGTCTGGTTATGTGAATATCATAGGCTACTACAAGAGGCACTTCTTCATATGAGTTGTGACAAATTATGATCTTCATATGCCACAGTTGCCATTAAATGACTGACTGGCAGGATAACTAATTCTTCCCAAACTGAAAAAGCAACTGTGGATTCTTGTAGTCATACTTTGTGTAATATTTGGCTATCAAGACTCTATTGACTTCTCATATTACTGGCTTTCATCTAAGTGATATCTTTCTGACATGATTAATGTTCGACTACTTTCTAAATTACAGCTGTTCATTTAACCAAGATAAAGATGTTGAACATATTTCTTTTATGATTTGTTGACATTCATCTTATTTCTGAACACAAATATCTGCATAGCAGTAGGTTTTCATGTTCAATAGTGTATGATTACTATAAATAATTTCACTCAGTGGTATTTTGATCAGCCTTTCTAAGTTAACATCAATTTTAAAATTATCCTTTAATTTTTATTATGATTATGTAAAAATATATAAAGAACCCTACCAACGGTCAAGTGGTTAAAGCTGCAAAGCATTGGTAATTTGTTCCAAATCTACTGAAATCTAGAATAGATAGGAGTATTTAAGATGTTTTGAGTTAGATGCTGTAACTTGAATAAAAAGGGGATTTTTCATTTGAGATTAAAAGATATTAAAAAAAAGTTGTCTGCTCTTTAAGTATCATATAATCTGTATACTCTGTAAAGAATTATGAAAAGACATATGTATGTTTCAAGAGAAACTTGATGTTCAAAAATGAGAAAAATTTCATTAAACTTGTCTTTGAAGTCAGAGTTCTATTAAGATTCAGTTTTTCTTATTTTTAATTTTCCAGCCATTCATGCCACACACACACACACATAACTAAGCATTTGGAAATATATGTTCTGGTATATTTAAGGATTGTCATTCTTTCTTTAATATGGGGCAAATAAAAAATATGGTTATATATTTGAAATAAATGTGATGTTGTGATATATTGTCGAGGGAAATGGTAAGTGATATGTTAAATTTCAAGTTAATTCTTTTTTCATTTTAAATAAGTCGTGCCCAAGCTTATATCATTAGGCCATGATGGTGCTGAACATGCAGTTTCAACTGATTATTGCCCAAAATGATGTGGGCAGTGACCTGGCTAATAACTGATCATTACTCAGAATGACATAAGGCCATGAAATGTGATATTAATGCTATATTTTTGTCATTCATTATTGGAAAATGGAGAAAATGAGAAACAAAACCTTTTAATGAGAAACATCCAGGAAAAAAAAAAAAAAAAAAAAAAAAAAAAAAAATTATTCCAAAAAGACTTGCAATAGCACTAATGCAGCAACATGAGTAAGGATTGCAAGCATTGGAAATGGTGAGTCTTGCTGGTATTATGTTATTCAGCACATTGAAGACTTGATTTTTTTAATGCACAATATCATTTTCATTAGTATAATACTTTTAATCACAAGATATGATCAATCATGTTGCCATATTGACTCTTTGTTTCAGATACATAATCTTGAAAAATGGGTTCATATTTTAAAGGCAATATAATAGAAATATGCACAAAGTGGTAGGACCATTTTGGAATTTATGACTAAGAAAATAAACTCTTCTCGTTCGCATTCTGTATGGTTTCAGGGGTAAATTTATGGGTGACTGGAGGGTTATAAAAGCTGTAAATGTTGTATAAGCATAACTCTTTATGAATATATATTCACAGATTTTTGCTCTCAAAGAACTGTCTTTTGTTTTAATGATTTCAGTATTTCATTATTTAAGTAAATAACAGAGTGTTGAGAGAAATGTTTATTTTAATTATCTGAGTGTTTTTTAAATTTGTCTTTTAACAGGATGTATCAGGAATGCCTGCTCTATGCCGACCTGTCACGGAAGGTGGCCAAGGGTTTGATTATCGGTTAGGAATGGCAATTCCGGACAAATGGATTGAGGTAGTCAGTTTTGGAAACTGCATTAACTTTTTTTATGTTAAAACGGAACTTGGAAAAAAAAAAAAAAAAAAAAGAGTTAAAAACAATGCTAAAAACCAAAAGTTAATCATTTGAAAATAATATAATCATGCTATATTTACATCAAAATGAAGGATGAAATACAGGTGAAAGTAATCAATCAATTCTTCATTTGGTATCGTGTTTGTATCATACTTTTTTTTTACATTTAAGACAAAAGGAGAAAATATTTCCCCAAAAGTCAGGGTCTCTGAAGGGTTAAATTGATTCCAGATTCAAGGAGGTAACTTCTGTCTGTGAATTATAATAATGAAATAATATTAACTGTAAACTATTAGCACGGAAATGTCTGAATTTGCTTTATTTTCTATTTATTGTTACTCTTAAATAAAAGCACAAAAATATACTTTTACCTACTATTAAGGACTTGTAAAATCTGAAGAAAACATGCATTGTGTATAATCATCGCTCAGAACGGGAACAGCTGTACACTAACTGCAATGGTGACATGAAATATTTTGAAGAAAAATAATCTGCTTTCTGATGATTCTGAAACTGAAAGTAGGCTTTCAAAGTGCACTAATGTTGCAATCATCTTAACAAAAGGTAATTAAGATTTGCAGATTATTGGATATACCCGTCACTTTTTAAACTTAATAGTTGGAAAAAAAATGCACTTTCTTTATAAATAAATATAGATGAATTTGTGTTTGATGTTTATTTCTGTTTCGGGAAGAGGAAAGAAAAATTTAAAAAGTTTCAGCAGCTGCATTATACTGATATAAGAAAAAAAAATTTAAAATGTGTATCTATCACACATCTATCATATCTTGGTTATCTTTAGAGAAATGTTTGTTTTGAATCTTGAACCAATAGATCCTACTTCTTTCCTTGACATCTTTTAAAAAAGAAGTGAATATTTCCAGAGTCAAGATAAAAGGTTCCATTTTAAGATATAAAATACTTAAATTAAATGAAGACATGGCTGCTATATACTTGGATAAAAATAAGTGTGAGAAGTAACTTGTTAAAAAATGAAAATTTTAATTGGCAATTATCAGAATAATGTAGCAAGAAATAAATGTAAAGTTGATATAGAGATATAAATGAAAAAGAAAAAAAATTGCTTAATGAGGGAAACATTTGTCAGTTACTGTAAATTTATCTTGTGAAAGAAAGATTTTTTATGTTTTGTTTTCAGACGATAATGAAGCTTTTTGTTTTTGCATGCACTCCATGTTACCATCATTCATTGTTCTTGATGCCATTCTGCAGCAAAGAAATCCATTAATTCATACTTTGTGTTTTGTAATTATGATTTGTTTTGAGACATTTTATCAAAGTTTGTAAAAACACGTTTTGTTTTCTCTTTTGGTTCTATATATTGAGAATTGTAGTAAAATAAAAGATCGAAAGGGGAAAAAAATAGATGAGGATTTATTTGTCAATTGAGGCTGCAGCTAACAAAGTAGTAAAGGAGTCTGTAACTGAAAATAAAAAGAAATTTTATTTACATACTAGAAGTTATTTCTGCTGAATGAGTGCTTACATACTGTGTAAATTTCCAATTCACAGTGAAATAATTTTACACGCTAAAGTTGGAATTGTTTTTATTCTCTTGCAACTGCATCTTTTTCTGATTATAATATATTATATATATATATACTTAAAAACGTAATACTGTGAGATATTTTTAATAGCATTTCAGTTGTACTTTGCTTAGTTTTCAAAGATGAAGATATTGGTGTTGCAACAGCAAAGCTGCAATCACAGTTTTGCAATTTATAATTAAAAAATCTTGTTAAAATTATAGAATTAACAATATCTGATAGTTGGTCTAATCAGAAAATTGAAAAGTGCTAATAGAGAATTTTAAAGGGTAGCAAACTCTTTAAATAATGTTGTCCCTCTTGACAATTCTCAACTACAGTATACAACAGTGGAGAATGTGAGAAAATTTTCAGTATTGGCATTAAAATGTAACTAAGTTTACATTCTATGTGCATGATGATACATTTAAAAAAAGTAATATTAGAAAAAAAAATATATACATGGCAACTGCTGTGAGGAAATATGTGACACCTCTTTACCGAAGAAAGCAAAGCCTGTTATTCTTGTTAACAATATAATGAAAGCAAATGAAGCTATTATTATTCTGTAAAATGTTTCAATGATAAATTTCTAATAATATATGAGTGCTTTTGTACTAACTGCATTTAAAACTAATAAGCTGCACTTCCAGACTTAAGTTAGACAGTAGTTTTAGTATCTTAAAAAAATTCTTTTTTGTTTATTTTTACTGTTTCAAAATAATTTGTCAATAAAAAGTATTCTTATTTTTGAGTTTAGCAAGTCTGCTCATATTATGAGTTAGTCTGTACTTAACACGGAAGATTGGAAATTAACATATGAGTGTATTCATAGTCATTAGTTTGCAAGGCTTACTCATAACTGACTGTTAAATCTAATGAGAAATAATTTTTAAACTTAATTAATTTTACTACATACATTCCTTCTTACACTATATATCTCACTTCTTTCTTTGAGAAATAAAAATTTTTATATAATGCTTTGATTTAACTCAATCTAAGTGAGCTTTTTTTTTATAGCTACTGAAAGAAAAGCAAGATGAAGACTGGAATATCGGAGACATAGTACATACATTAACAAACCGTAGGTGGATGGAAAGAACTGTAGCATATGCGGAATCACATGATCAGGTATTATATACAGGAAAATTTTAAAAATATGTTGCAGTACAATAATTACTGTACATAATGTATGTACACAGTGTTCTATGACGTTTAAACTTGAATTCATTATAAAAATGTTTGAAGGTAAGGTATTATCACTAATATTCCTGGAAGAGACCTAAGAGGTAAAATTAGGCCAGGGAAAAAAAAAAAAAAAAAAAAAAAAGTTTGCTGTAGATTTTGTTGAAAACTATCAATTTTGTGAGATCAAGCAACAAATTGTTTCTTCTTCAAGGAGCTAAACTATTCTTGTTTGAAGAGAGCTGAAATTTTAACAAATTATTAAAACTTCAAGTATAAATTCTTGCAAGAATCTTTAATTTGAAAATTTCAAAAAATCATGTGGAGATCACACAATGTTTAATGCAAAGTGGCCAGACATCTATGCTAGTTATATATAGGCGAAAATTTAAAAATTTAATACGGTCTTAGCAAGAAATTTTTGGATAAAATAAGTGACATCCTGGTTTTCAGCAAGATATAACATAATGATTTAAACCTTCCTGTCATGGCCCACGAGCAGGCAAGCAGTAAAGTTGCTCAAAACTAGTTATTCAGTCTGAGGTTTGAATCCTGTGAATGGGCTGGCTGCATGGCCATTTTCGTGGTTTTCCCCAATCTATAACGTGCATACGAGCCAGTTTTCCTTAGAAAATCCTCCATAAAGGTATCCTTCTTCTTAGGCAGATAGCCCTTAAGGCTTTGCTATAATTAAGCAGACCAAGACCTTCCTGTCATGTTAAAAAAATTATGTTTTGTCTGTATAAATTTATTTAATTCAACTTTATTTATGGGACTTTAGATGTTGAGAGGTCCCAGAGTATTTTGTACTTATCTAATTGCAAGTAATTGTTGTGTTTATTAATATAGATTATATTATCCTTAAGCCTCTGATTTTTTCCCCCGTTTTTTCATGTTCTTCATCTTATTCTTTTTGATATCTGTGATGGAATTTTTATAACTTTGAATTGCATTGAAATTCGCATATTTTACTTACTGTATAACATCTCATATTCTTTGGTGGTATAAACAAACTAGATCTTAGTAGAATGGTAGGGAGTTATCCCAAAATCTTAAGTATGACAAAGTCCAGAGAAGGGTGTAAAGAACCTTTCAATAACTCCATTAATGTTCACAGAACTTTAGTAAACATGTTAGTTAACACTTTTGGCTTAACTCAAAAAGGATAATGAGCAACTTAAAATGGATTTAAGTTTAGCCTAATGGCTTCACAGGTTACTTAATGCATAGGCTATCTCTGACTCAAAAGTCTACATAAACAAGCCTAATGGCAAGAAGTGCTCAACGCCACAGAAATCTAATCTCTAGTAAATCAAATATAGCAACATAGCCTTCATGGCAGGCAGAACACACTCAAAATTCATCTTCCAAAACTTTCCCATAAATACTAACTTCTACCTGATTTGAATAAACACATGCTAACTTATTTACATTTTGGCAAGAAAGCATGTGTTGAAAGCAAGAGCAATAGAAAAAGTTGCTTCAAAATAAAATTAAATGTTAAGTAAATTAAATAAATGGCCACAACTTCAATTAGGTTTTACTATATCGTGAAACCCCGCTTAATGTGGGGGTTACATTCCATCAAAGTATAGCATTATATGCAATAGCATTAAATGAGGTGGTTAGGGGAAAACGGGTATAAAATAAAAAAGTTGTTCAAGTAGTTTAAATTCATTAAATATGTTTTTATAACAATACAAAGTAAAACTTATTTCTTACAAATATTGAAACATAACAAATTAATATATAGAAATAATTAAAATTTTAAGTCACCATTATCATTCAGATTTTTCTGTATTTTCAATTTTCTGATTTTTTCAGTTATTGTTTTATTGTTGCTTCATTCAGTTATTCTTTTATTGTTGTTAATGTCCTTGGGAATTCAGCCACCGCTTTTTTATCTCCATTTGCTGCTCATCTTGTAATCTATATGTTATGAAGATCTTTATTTTGTAATCGATATGATTTCGATGTTTAAATCTATTAAACCATCCTCAACTTGCAGTGAAAATTTCAATTGTGTTACCTATTTTAATCTGTGCTTAAAAATTCTTCTCAATTTTCCCATTATCAAAGCTTGGCTTAATGGCATTATTGCATTCAATTTTGTTGAGAATCCATTTTCGTCTCTTCTGTCATATTATTATTTCTAGAACGGGTTATTCTAGTTGTAGTTGCTGATAACACTATTTTCTCTTTATTTATGAGAATTGTCCTTATTGTAGAAGTTGACAAGTTCAATGCAAAACCAATTTGACACTGACGTTCACCACTATCTAATCTTCTAAGCACTTGCATTTTAGTTTTTAGCAAAATACTTTTCTGTCACTTTATTTTCGTGTTTCTTATTATCACCTATATTAAAAACTAAAAATAATAATTATCACTATATCAGTCATAACATTACATAAATTTATGCTTACAATAACAACAACAAATGTTTGAAATAATAAAAATAAGTTTGTGTAACATTGCAGAAAAGAAGTAATGCAGATAAATTACTTTTGATTTGCGGGAAGCTCAATGCTGCATGCAGTTTTCAGGGAATCCCACTATTCCAATAAAAATGCTTTAAATGAAACAGCGTTAAGTGGGGTCATATTGTATGTATGTGCTCACATTTACAGGTATGGATGTATGTATGTGTATATATACACAAATCAGTTCCATTAGGAGAAGAGTACCCAATAAATTTCTATCAGAAATATTTATTTAGCTCAAAATCTCAGTTTGCTTTATGTAAAATAATTTTCCCAAATTAGATTTGACTGAATATGTTAGAAGCATGATGTATTTATTTTTTATATAGTTAAACAGAGCTATGAATTAGTGGAAAGAGATTTAAAAGTCTGCTGTGTATTGTAAAGTCCAAAATCTGGGCATCTAATATCTGTGCTCTGGACCAGCGGTTGTCAACCCTTAGAACTTCAGGAACCACTACATATACAATTTTATATTTGGTGGACTACTAATATGAGTTATTAAAAAAAACCCCGTAAAGCAGACCTTAAAAACAACATATTAATACGCAAAAACAATATTCAATTTTCCAATACATGTAATTCTAATTTTCATTTGTTAATATAATTTTAGAATTTTGGTGTACAGCAGCATGCCTTTATGGAAATTCAGGCTGCACCCCTGATTATGAGTAACAATTAAAACACTATTAACATCTCACTGATGCACATATTTCGCTCACATTGAAAATTTATATGAAAAGTACAAAAGTCTTACCTCTTATACAGAAAGCTTCATATTTCCATATCACTGAAAAGGAACATCACAAAAAGCAAGAGCAAATGGGCAAACACGAAGCAATATCAATAAACTGAAAGTGTTATGCTGCCAATTTTTAATTACTGTAAACTTAATAATCATCCCTTATTCCACTAAATTCAGAAGGAATTTCGCTAAAAGTAGTAGCTAAAATTAAAAAAAAAAGTTATAATCCATATTCCATAATAGATTTTGTTACTCATCATTTTTTAAACTGAATCATTATAAAAATATAAATATCCCAATTTTTCTGTGGACCATCACAAAGTTTTTACGGACCACCGCTGCTCTGGACCACTAGCCAAATGAATAAATAAATAGAATTAAATAATAAAAAAACTTCCCAGCACCCTATATCTAGGAATGGAGAATGCAACATTCAACAAAAGGAAGCAGGTGTGTCATAAATGTGATTTTTCTCAGGTCTGATTGGAATTCCTGCATACCATTTTCAAACATCTCCTGGCTATGGAGTCTTATCGTGGGCCAATGGCATTTCATTAATTGAAATTGTATTGATATTGTTCAGGATCGCACATTCGGCTCTTGAGTGATTGTGCGTGGGTATGAAATCCCAGTACACAGTGTTTCAAAAAGAATATACATATTACAAAGTGTTATTTTGTCCAAACTATCGATCATTGCGCTTCGATTCGTCTATTGGCGAAACAAATACATGGTTTATATTAATAGCTGCTAGATGTCAGTTGTCTTCTGTTTTGAGTGGTAACCGTCACATGTTTAAAATGGCTACTCCGCAGTAGAAATCATTTTGTGTTCTTGAGTTTGCAAATTGTAATTCCGTGATTACGGCGCAAAGATGTTTCGAGTTGAGGTACCAAAGTAATCCTCCGAATGGGTGGAATATTCGCAGATGGTATCGACAGTTTGTAAATACAGGATGTGTATGTAAAGGAAAGAGTCCTAGTCGCTCTTGTGTTCCCGATGAAAATGTTGCACGAATTCAAAATGCTTTCCAACATAGTCCTTCAAAATCAACTCGTCGTGCCAGTCGGGAGTTACAACTGCCTACAACAACAATTTGTCGTGTTTTGAGACGTTGGTTGGTTATGAAGCCGTACAAGTTACATTTGTTACAGACTCTGCGTCCTGATGACAAACGCAAACATGGGGCATTTTGTAATGAGATTATTGATGCTATTGACAATGATAACACTTTCGCACAACGCATCGTGTTCAGTGATGAGGCGATTTTTCATGTTAGTGGTCATGTAGATAAACTTCGAATTTGAGGCCTACAGAACCCACATGCAGGCATTGAACATGTACGAAATTTGCCCAAAATCAATGTGTTTTGTGTAATATACCGATCATCTGTTTACGGCCCATTCTTCTTTGATGGAAACATGGTTAGCAGTCAGCAGTATCTCGCTATGTTACAAAACTGGTTGTTTCCAAGGCTGCATGAAGACAACTTCACTTTTCAACAAGTTGGGGCACCTCCTCACTGGTGTCACCAAGTGCCTGATTATCTGAATGAAACTCTAACAAACCATTGGATTGGTTGTCAAGGGGCTGGCGACTTAGCATGTCTCAGCTGGCCTCCATGGTCACCAGATTTGACACCCTGTGATTTCTTCCTATGGGGTTTCATTAAAGATAACATTTATGTATCACCACTCCCACAGAACCTGAAAGAGGTGAAGAACCGGATCTGTACTGCCATAACGTCAGTGACGACAGACGTGCTTGCCTAAATATGGAAGGAATTTGAGTATGATGGGATATTGTTCGTGTCGCTGATGGAGGACATATTGAAGATCTGTAACATCTGTAATCTGAACTTGAGAGGCTCGTACATATGTGTGTAAAGTTTCATATTCATATGTGATACACTTTAATTAATATATGCATTCGAAATATGTGTATTCTTTTTGAAACATACTGTATTGTACTCTACATGTCGTCTTACTAGATTGAAGCTTATGATCTAAAATCTAGAAATTTTTTAAGTCCGGGTTTCGGACTTTGCACTGTGCACCTCTATTTTAATTTTTTAGAAGTTTTTATAATCATATACATGTCCTGAATTAATTTTTAATATCTGATATTAAATTGTGAATTTGTTGGATTTGTCAATTTTTGATAAACTGTCGGTGAACAACAGGAAATGAATGGAACATAATCTAAATTATCTGCTTTTGATGTAAGATCCTTAGATATCTGCTGTTGAGTAAGAGTGAATTTTATAAAAAGTGGAATATAGAACAGGTCGTTTCAACCCCTTAGCTTTCTTAATTGAGCGACATTTAAACATTGGTAATGACATATTTTTCTCATGCCCAAGGATAACTCATGCTACTAAAGCAAGTGCTTGGGTACTTATTAACCCTTTCGCTGCGCATCCCGCGATTTCCACGCGCAATGTAAATGTAGCAAAATTTGTGCAACGATTTTTTTGTCCGTCTATTTAACTGTGCAACCTGCTCTTTCCCCGTTTAAGGTTTCCTTTCAGCTTTTCTGTGATGTTTAATTGTTTATTTAGATGTGGGCTAAGAGATGGTGTTAGTTGTCCACATTTCTGCCAAAAACACAAGAATACTTATTCAGAAGTCAAACAACAAAAATCAGTGTTATATTTACAAAATTTTCACAGGACTAGTAAATATAACGCTGATTTTTGTTGTTTGACTTCTGAATTAGTATTTATTCGGCGTGTTATTGTGTCTTAATTACAAGAATACTTAATGTAGCATTTTGCTCTCGCTTTTCAGACTTCAAAGATGTCTGGCCGGAAGCATTTCGCGAGTGATATAACCTATATTCCTGATGATATTTCTGATACTGATAGTAGTTCTTACTCTGATTTCAAGTATATTGAAGAAAGTGATAGCAAAACTGATGAAAATTTCTCGGATTCCTCTGCAGATTGTGATGAACCTGAAAATTCAGTTTCTATTGAAAACATTCGACAGTGGTGCAAAATATTACATTATGCAAATATTTTCATTAGTATATATGTTTTACCATTATATTTTATAAAATAAATCATAATTTAACCAATATTAATTTTCAAAATTTTCCTTTTATATCATTATTCTTCAATTTAAGTATTCTGACAAGCTTTTTCTATGATCTAATTCTATATTAAAAAAAAAAAAAAAAAAAAAAAAAAAAAAAAAAAACTCTTTTACAAAATATTTTTGTATACTTTAAACTCTAAAATATATGTAGCTTTGAAATATGTACTAAAAGAAATACGTAATTTTTGAACCTATTTTGATAAAAAAAACTTACGCAGTGAGAGGGTTAAGCATTTTCATGCAGTTAGCAAAATTGGTAAATCTTTTCTTCACAAGAATCAGGCTTACATGCTAGTTTTCAAGATATATTCAAATTTTCATTATCTTCAGTTTAAAAAAAAAATTGATTATTAGAATAATCATTTTTTTTTTTAAAACTGAAGATAATGAAATTATCATGTTTTCTCAAAAAGTAAATGACCATTAAGGGTTTAAAAGTATTTCATTCAATTTGTTTACTTTAACTGAAGTATATAGTAAAACCTTAATGCCCATTTTATAATATTTAATATTTCTTTATGGAATGGTTTAAGCTAAGCTTTAAAATTTATTTTATTAAGATCTGTGTGATGAAATATAGTGATTGCTTTTTCTTCTCACTTAACAGGCTCTGGTTGGTGACAAGACCATAGCTTTCTGGTTAATGGATAAAGATATGTATGATTTTATGTCAGTTCTAACGCCACTTGTGCCAACTGTAGACCGTGGCATTGCTCTGCATAAGATAATACGTTTGATCAGTCATTCCTTAGGTGGCGAAGCATGGCTGAATTTTATGGGTAAAAAACTTATTTCATTTCTACAAAGTATGACTGTTTTGTAGTATTTTAGTTTATTTGGGAATTGTCAAAAACCCTTGAATTTTGTTCAAGTCCCTTTGGGAACTTCATAATTTTTTGTTAAAAAGTTCTCTACAGCTTTGATTTAGCTTTCCATTTATGATAACTTTTAGTTATTTTAGAATTGCCAGCTGAAATGTACATTTATTTATGAGAAAATTTTACATATGTGTGCAGTTATAAGTTGATTTTTCCATCATTCTGTGAGTAGCTACATTTTAGAACATTAAATGTGGTAAACAGCACAGAAAATACTTTTCATGGGGACCAAACCATGAGAAGTTGGAGGATAAAATCAGAAAATTAAATTTTATGAATTACTTGTGTAAAGAACCTTCAGGCTTATACAGAGATATTTGAAGTATTTTTTTCCCCTTTTCTCTTTAAATTGAAAACTAAACTAATATGTTTGGTACATTCTGATCATTTTCACCCCCTGTTTGAATATTCAATAGAATTGTGATTTTTTTATATATTTTTAAGTATGCATGTGACAATATCCAACTCATGCATGCATATACCACACACATGTTTAAATACACATGGATTTACATACATAAACTGAACCATAATTTTTCTGAACAGTGAGTAGCAGCTGGGGAAATGTAAATACAGCCACATATTCCCCCCCTCCCATAAAATTTCTTATTTTTAAAATGTCTTTTTACTTCCCATTGAAAAGTGAAGGAAGGATTGTAATTGCAAAAAATTATGGTTATGAGATTCAATAGAAATATTCATTTTGATCTTTCCCGAATCCATTTTTGCGTTATGTCAGCTTATACAGAAGGTTAAAGGACTCGGAATGGTTTAAGCTAAGCTTTAAAAGACAAGCTCAGACAGAGTAAAAGTTATTCCAGAATGGATTGTAAAATGGATTCAAAGTAGATTTATTTGTGATGTCTGCACATACATTAATATGTATCTTGCATAGCTCTAAAACTATTAGATGTAGAACACTGAAGTTTTGGGTATAGGACTACTATAATATCTAGTTGTGTACCTCCATTTTTTATTATTTATACATATTGTTATGAAATGTACAGGTGCGGTAAGATATCTTTTCCACAAAGCAGTTTTAGGGTTGCCATAAAAGGGCAAGGGAAGGTCAGTGTTGCTACATTTGGCAAGGAATCGCCCATTTGGCAACAAAATTGGTTATAAACCATGGACGGATGGAGAAACGGATTATTACCGGTTTAGCCCAGCTCGAACACAAGCCGAAAGCTATATGAACCCTGCTGGTCCGCAGTCAGTTAGTGTGTGTGCCTCGTCTAGTGAGCTGATAGTCGGTCATTGAGCAAGTGTCTCAAAGTCTAGTGCCGAGTTGGTCGTCAAGTGCATCGAGAGAGTCTTTTAGTGTATTATCGAGTTTTGTCTTAGACTGTGCTGAGTCAAGAGCTATACTCTTGTGCATCGCGAGTTGTAGCATGGAGAGTCTCGAGAGTACGTGGAGTTCCGAGAACGACCGAGCAGACTCGGCAGCTGTACTCTGGTGCTTTGCAGTGAAGCTGTCTCCACTGTTATAGCCTGATAAACCTGAAGGTTGTGCCGCTAATTGTTCCAATGAGTGTATAGTAAATCCTCGATGACTGTAAAACGTGACTTTGGAGCTGTCCTGATTAATATTGGCTAAATAAAGTGTGTTTTGATATTTCATTAAGTAGCGTCGTCATTATTCACTCCAAATCTACGAAACGTGAAGGAAGAAAATAATGTAACAACTGGTATCAGAAAAGAAAAATGCAACAACTGGTGTCAGAAGTGGGATTTGCGAGCGAATGCCTGCAGAGGAAAGCCATGGCGGAGGAAATGGGGACTTTGATGGACTTCTTGAGAGATGAAAGTTGAAATGAAAGCCGGGCAGGAGGAGATAAATGCTGAGATCAAGAGCGAGATAAAAGCCATAGAAGAAAAGATGCAAAAGAAATTCGAACAGATGGAAGTGGAACAAGAAAGGATTAAAAGCGAGATTGGGGAGCTTAGAGAGAATACTGGAGCAAAAATAACAGCTGTGGAAGAACGATTTGAAGAAAAATTGGGAAAGTTCTGGGAAGAAGTAGATGTTTCAAAAGAAAACCGGACTGAGCCCAAGAACGAGGCTGAAGATTTCAAAGTTCCACAAGTGTACTCTCATACGGTAATCAAACTAAGCACATGCGATGGAAAATCATCGTGGAGTGTATATAAGACCCAGTTTTCAAATGTGGCGGAAAATAACAAGTGGGACTCCCACATGAAGGCTTTGCAGTTGGCTGCGTCATTCCGAGGAGATGCTGCTGACATCTTAGGGGTCCTCTCCGAAGACCAGATTTCAAACTTCAATGCCCTCTCGAATGCGCTGGAAATGAGATTACGATTGGGAAAAGTGTGCAAAGGACTGTAGCCGTCTGCAGTTGAAATACCGCCAGCAAAAAATTACAGAAAGCCTTCAAGAACTTGCATCTGACATCGAGAGGTTGGCCCATCAAGCATATCCGGACTGTCCACCTGATGTCCGAGAAAATTTGGCTTTGATGCATTTCGTCGATGCCGTTTAGGATGCGGAAATTCAGAAAGCTCTCAGATCAGATTGGCGGATCTGAAAGACCTAAATTCTGCCTTGGTCTACGCTATGAAGTTTGAGTCGGCTCAACAAGTAATTCGAAGAGATCGCCATCATATTAGACCTGCTCAAATAGAAGATCCAAATTTGGATATCTCGAAACTAAAACAAGAAATAGAGAGATTCGGGAGGTGTTAAGAAAACCTAATAAAAACAATACTGGGAAGAAAATCGTCAAGTGCTGGAACTGCGGATTGGAAGGACATCTCAGCAGGAACTGTCACATGAATCAAGACTGGGAGAAAGCTCCTGTGAAACAAAACCAGGGAAACTAAAATGCAGCAATCTCACAGGGCGGTGGTTGCCAGGCAAAGATGCAGCCCCTTTGAAAGTTCTTCAAATCTCTTCAATGAGCGGCAGAGATAACGGACTGTTTGAAGGATATGTAAATAGCATCTTTGTAAGCTGATCATAGATATGGGAGCAAATGTAACCATCGTGAGAACAAATGTAGCTCGAGAATTGAGCGAAACGTTGCGCTGTACTCCGCCTTGTGTGACTTTACGAACAGTGACAGGTGATAAGATTCCCATTGAAGGTAATATCAACATCAGCATTACCTTCGAAAATGAGACCCACCAGCACTTAGCTTTCATTGCTAACATCACAGAAGAATTAATACTCTGACTGGACTTTTTGCAGAAGTACGACTTTACGTTGGGCTTTAAACGTAACAAAATGCGCTTTGCAAAAGAAAATATAAATGTGTTTGAAAGGAAGAGTAGCATTCCCTCAGCTCACCAAGTAACAACAAAAACAGGTGTCACCATCCCTCCGATGACAGAATTATTAATAGTCGGCTCCATAGAAAAGAATAGCTTCAGATTTGGATTAATTGAATACCCTGGAAATAGCCCAAGAGAGGTATTAGTGGCCTCCTCATTAGTAGACCTTACGAAAGATTTCATCCCTGTGAGAGTGGCGAATGTTAGCCACAGACAGAGAACCCAGGATTGACGATACTCTAGACACCCTATCAGGACACAAATGGTTTTCAACTCTGGACCTCAAGAGTGGATACTGGCAAGTGGAAATTCATTTCGATGATAGAGAGAAAACTGCATTCACTACTGGTCAAAGACTCTGGCAGTTTAAAGTTATGCCTTTTGGACTCTGTAACACCCCTGCAACATTTGAACGCCTGATGGAGATAGTGCTTCATGGTCTATCTTACGAATCCTGTGTGGTCTACCTACACGACATCATTATAGTGGGCCGTAGGTTCGAGGAACATCCAGAAAATATCAGAAATGTGTTCCAGAAATTGAGAGATGCCAACGAACCTTAAACTGAGTCCTTCGAAATGCAAGTGATTCCGCAGTGAAGTTACCTGTCTCGGGCACGTCATCTCTGCCGAAGGTATCCACACAGAGAAGATTCGTGAATGGGTTCTCCAACATTGCAAGGCCTCTGCATAAATTAACCGAAAGTAAACAAAAATTCGTATGGGCTGAGAAGTCCTTTAATCAGTTGAAGGTGGCATTAACATCTACATCCGTGCTCGCATATCCCCAGACCGAAAAACAAATTATATTAGACACAGATGCAAGCAATGGAAGTGTGGGAGCTGTCCTTTCTCAAATGATTAATGGTCAAGAGCGAGTAATAGCCTATTGGAGTAAGTGCTTGTGCAAACCAGAAAGCAATTATTACGTCACCCGTAAAGAATTGCTTGCTATCGTAAAGGCCATAGAACATTTCCATCATTATCTGTATGGCAGAAAATTCTTATTGCAGAACGACCATGCTTCTCTAACCTGGCTACTGAATTTCAAGATTCCTGAAGGACAAATAGCCAGTTGAATTCAAAGACTCCAGGAATATGACTTTGAGATAAAACATCGTAAAGGCTCCTCCCACAGAAATGCAGATGCTTTATCCAGGAAGCCTTGTCCTGCACACTGCAGCCATTGTTCAAGAGCCGAGACTAAGTACAGGTTGGCAAATCCGAGTATCCACCAAGTAACATCTTCAACATCAACTGATGCAGATCCGTGGAGTGATGAAAATGTTAGAGAAGATCAATCAGCGGATCCTGACATGAGGCCAATATTAGAACTAAAGGAATCATCCAGTGCAAAACCCAAGTGGCAGGACATTTCCATTTTCAGTCCTGCAACTAAAACTCCACTTCCGAAATGGAGTCTTAACTCGACTATGGGAAAACAACGATGGAACTAATAAGAGATGGCAGCTGCTGCTTCCTCGAAACCGAATACCTGATGTTCTGAAGGAAATAAACAGCAGCTCCACAGGTGGGCATTTCCACTGTATGAAGACACTAAACAAGGTCCGAGAATGCTTCTTCTGAGAAACGATGTTGAGAAGTGATCTTGTAATGTTTGCGCAGCCAGGAATTGACTGAAGGGATGTAGCCGAGGAAGGCTGCAGCGATACAATATAGGAGCGCCTTTTTGAGCGAATTGCCCTCGGCATACTTGGACCTTTTCCTCGGACCATGGATGGCAACAAATACATCATCGTTGTCATGGATTACTTTACGAAGTGGCCCGAAGCTTACCCAGTTCCAGATTAAGAGGCTGTCACGACAGCTGAAGTTCTGTTACAGAATTGGGTGTCCAGATTTAGGACCCTCCTCCAGCTTCATTCCGATCAAGGCAGGAACTTCACTTCAGCTGTGTTCAAGGGACTCTGTAACTTGTTAGAAATCAAGAAAATGCAGACGACCCTGCTGCATCAGCAGTCTGATGGCATGGTGGAGAGGTTTAACTATACAATCTTGAACCACCTCTCGCTCATGGTTTCCAAAAATCAAGAAGACTGGGATCGCAAGTTGCCCCTGTTCCTGCTTGCTTACCGTATTGTCGTCCGCGAAAGCATCGGATGCTCTTCGGTCGCAATCTCCGTCTGCCAAGTGGCCTGCTCTTCGGCTGCCCTCCGGATGAACACTCCTCGTCTGAGGAGTACATGCAATACCTCCAGGCCCGGTTGGAAACAGTTCACGGGTTTGCTCGAGAGCAGATCAACATGGACAAGATGAAGAAGAGATACGACGGAAGAGCCACCGAACATAAATTCCAGGAAAACAACAAGGTTTGGCTGTGGAATCCAAGTCGTTGTAAGGGCGTTTCTCCCAAACTGCAGTCGCATTGGGAGGGTCCCTATACAGTCCTCAACAGGTTGAATGACATTGTGATACGGATCCGTAAATCTTCCAATTTCAAACCCAAGGTCGTTCATTATGACAGATTAGCCCCATACTATGGCCATAGTACTTAGTGCTTTTCATTCTTAGAGGCACTTATAATTCTTTTGCATGAGTTTTCTTACTTAGTTTCTGTTTAAAGTTTATATGCAGTGTAAATGTTTGTTTCTTTAGTTATGTTATTTCTTTGGTTTATTGCCTTTTGTTTGTATCGAATTATGCTTCTGACCAAGGATTGTACTGCCCAGGACGTGCAGTCCTTGGGAGGGGCAGTATTACCAAATGTACAGGCACAGTAAGATGGCTTTCCAGCAAAGCAGTTTTAGGGTTGCCATAAAATAGCAAGGGAAGATCGGGTTGCCACATTTGGCGGCACTGGCGATATACCATGGACGGATGGAAAACCTTCTGGAACGAATTCTTACCGCTTTAGCCCAGAATGTTCTCGAACACAAGCCGAAAGCTATATAAACTCTGCTGGTCCGCATTCAGTTAGTGTGTGTGCCTCGTCTAGCGAGCTGATAGTCAGTCATTGAGCGAGTGTCTTAAAGTCTAGCGCCGAGTTGGTCGTCGAGTGCATCGAGAGAGTCTTTTAGTGTATCACGAGTTAGTGCATCATTGAGTTTTGTCTTAGACTGTGCTGAGTCGAGAGCTATACTCTTGTGTATCGTCGAGTGCATTGTGAGTTGTAGCGTGGAGAGTCTCGAGAGTATGTGGAGTTCCGAGAACGATCGAGTAGAGTCAGCAGCTGTGCTCTGGTGCTTTGCAGTGAAGCTGTCTCCACCCTTATAGCCTGATAACCTGAAGGTTGTGCCGCTAATTGTTCCAGTGAGTGTATAGTAAATCCTCGATGACTGTAAAACGTGACTTTGGAGCTGTCCTGATTAATATTGGCTAAATAAAGTGTGTTTCGATATTTCATCAAGTAGCATCGTGGTTATTCACTCCAAATCTATGAATGCCTTGCGAACGTGAGGGAAGAAAATAACGTAACAACTGGTGTCAGAAAAGAAAATCGCAACAGTATATATATATATATCTTTTTTTCTTACCTGGCTTAAAGGCCCTTATTTAAGCTTTATTTTCACAGCTGTTGTGCTTGTTGTCATATGCTTCCAATTACAGAAATGTTTTCAATGATGAAAATATTTATATTTTGGAAATGCCAAATTAAAAAAAAAAAAAAAAAAAGATAAGTAATGAAATCTAACTTTTAATTATATCTCCTGCTTCCTTTACTTATAACTGGGAAAAATTTTATACTTTTTATGAAAAATAAAAATACAGAAAGTTTGAAAAAGTGACCAGGATATTTAATTTCAAAATTTACTGTTTTTGATGTCATTTTCAACTTGCTTTGAAGAATCGGTCAATCAGGTTAGAATAATTTATATAAATAAGTTTAAATGAAGTGCAGCGAAATTGTGTTTAATTTAATAGGCCATATAAGGAAGTCGTGTGATGTCATTAGATATTTTTAAATATCATTTATGCGTATAACATAATCTATGAACTGTAGAAATTGCCAAACAAAAGTTTCCCACTGCTTCATCAAATTGCTTATGAGTTAGGTTAAGGATGGGGATAGTAAGAAAGTACCAGCTTTTTTTTTTTTAAATAAATTTCTTTGTTCTCAGTGTGATTTATTTATTTTAGAAATTTATGATAGCACTCTGATATTTTTCAAAAGTTTAAGTTTAGTTATATTAAGAATATTTTCTTAGTAATTATTTTTTATTTTGTGAGTAATATTGATACACAAAATCATAGAGTGGAAGAGGGCTAATAAACAGCAGGAAAACTAGTAATACGGCATGGGAATGGAAAATGTTCAGGTACTTGATAAAAAAAAGTAATTCCTTACTTGATAATTTTTCTTAAGATTCTTTTAGATTGTTAGCATTGTGGCTTTGTTAACTTAAGATCAATAATTATAATTTTTTTTTTTTTTTTTTTTAAATACTGAAACTGCTCAGATATTTTTTTGCTAACTTACGCAATGCGGATTAGATGTGCATTAAAAAAAAATTGCAAGCAGAGGGCATATTTTTAATGCAGTAATAATTTCAGGATCTTACAATTATGGATAATGTGCAAAAAATGTTAAATGTGGAACTATGAGAATGAAGATTCACTGTATATTTATCTTCTAGCAACTGCTATTGTTTGTTCATTTGAAAAATATTATTTATTATCACTTTCATGTGGGGTTCCTCTCTGAAATTTTGGGAATTCTAAGAGAGAACAGTAATTTTTGTTAGAAGTAAGCCTAGCAATCTGATCATGCTTTATAAAAAAAGAATGATTTTATTTTGTTTTTAGACTTACTATGCTAAATCATTTTGAATAATTTATTTCATTGGTTTTTATAAGTGCTACATTTTGATATAGCTTTTGACATTTTGCCTTGGATTTAGCATTACAGTCTTCTAAAATTTTGTTTTCTTGTATCTGTATTTCTATTAGGTACATGGGGAGGGGGGGGAGAAAGGCACTTAAAAGTTTTACATAAATATGCTACAAATAATGAAATGTTAGGAATTTGTATCATTCATATGCATTGGTTGAACTTGTCAGATTCTTATGGAAAATAATTACAAATGTCTTTCATTCATTCCTATAATAACAAATAGCTCCATTGCTTAGTTCAACAAACAGCAGATCCTTTTAAAAATTACTTTTCATAGCATAAAACATTGAAATTTTGTAAAATGTTTCTTCTAGGTAATGAATTTGGCCATCCAGAATGGCTTGACTTTCCCCGTGTTGGTAATAATGAAAGTTATCAGTATGCCAGAAGACAATGGCATCTGGTTGATGATGAGCTGTTGCGTTATAAGTTCCTCAACAATTTTGATAGAGCTATGAATGAAACTGAAGAGAAGTATCGATGGTTAAATTCAGGCCCTGTGAGTATATTTTATAGTCAGTATAACTGCATGCTCTGTGAAACGACCAAATAAAAATAAATGTTACAAATTGTATGTTTATCATGTATAACAATATTGTTCAGACCATTGGGATGGTAATAAAGTTTTAGAAATGCGCTATATGAAAGTGCTAATAAAAGAAATGGTTTTAATGTTTTAATCTTTTTCATCTTTTTTTAAAGAAAATTTATAACATAGAATTAAGTAACCTTAAGTATGATATGAATTTTGATTTTTTGTTTCGGTAAATATGTTAGAAATTCTAAAATCAACATGGATTGATAGATAAAATATTCATATATCTTTGCCTGATATCTTTTTGTGATAATAATTTACAATGTAATTAACATTTAGAAATATGTACTACATAGCATTCAGAGCATTTCATTTTATGATCCTTTATCTACTGTTATATTTTATAACATTTCTATGAACCCATTCTTGTAGGATGCAAATTTCCAGAAAAATTTATTGATATTTCCTTGCTATTAGAGAAGTGAATCAATGTTACATATTTATCCTTGCATCAAAGACTAATTCTGTCAGTAAGTGGCTGTAATTTGTGGTGCATTAGTTTCCAAGCACAATTCATCCTGAAAACTTTGTTGTAATCTAGAGCACTTGTATATCAAAGGGAATTTCCATGTAAAAAATAATGAAAACTTAGTTAATGTGATCCACAATATAAACATGTTTGCATAAAATGATTATTACAACATATAAAATAAATTAACCTGCATTTCATGTTTGAAAAAATCATGGATAACGAATCACTAAACTAAACTAAAATAAACTTAGTGGCACAAACAGACCTTAGAGAGCCATGGCCGGCCATGCCCTGATATCTGCTTTCTAGACCGTGGTCTCTGGGGTGCTTGTGCATCTTAGCTTGGACAAGTGGTCAGCTTTTCACAGGACCCCCTGGTGTTAAGCCCTTAAGCGAATGTAATACTCATTTTGTCGACCCACTCCAAGGATGAAAGGCTGAGTCAACCTTGCTCAGCCCAGGGACCGAATCTCGGACCTGTAGTGCTTCTGTGCGATGTGCTACTGTGTAATTGGGCTCAATGAATCACTACAGTTAGTTAAATAACCCATTCAATAATATCTGCCTTTGCATCCTATAGTATTTTATGAAAATAGGATACCGTATTATCATTAAACAAATTTATTGCATGTGGTGTTATTGCTGCATTTAGGTATGCTTTCGTAAAAAAATTTGCATTCTGTCCAACATTTTTTACAAATGAAATATTCATTCTTTTATTTCCCACTGTAAAATGTTTATTAATTGTGAATCTAAGTGTACCAATTCTGAGTCAATTGTCCTCAAAAACAGTAGTTTCTTGTAAATTTTGTATAATTCTTTTTCTTTTTAACCTAAAGGGGCATTAGACCCAAAAAAGCTAGTAGTCTCACATTTTGAATAATGTAGCCTTCCAACTGAACATGGGCACTTGGAAGTCCAAATTCTGAATTTTGAATTTGTTTTGTTATATAATTCAAATTTTGTAAGAGTTTAACGAATTGATCAACAAACTCAATGATTTCAAAGCTAGCAATGACAACACTGTTCCCCCCCCCCAAAAAAAACATTTCTATGTACAGCATGCGAGACTGTGTATTGCAAATTATAAAGATATGCTGTTTTTAAATGATGCTTTGCTATTGAATTGAATTTTATGTGGTTTAAGTGCAGAGAACATGATGTTTAATAAATGAAGGTTGTAAATGTAAAAAAATGTTTAAAAAAAGGGGGAAAAAAAAGCTATTTTGGGCATACTATAAAATTGGAAAGCTTTCAAGTTTTCTTTCTTTCTCTCTCTTTTTTTTTTTTTCATTGTGCAGGTATCCTGTTTTTAAGTATAAGCATTTTTGTATATTTAAAAAGTATTGCTATAGGCTTGAAACCATTGAAAAATAGTTGATGTCTTGTGTAACACTATGTATTCTCAGTGGGCATTCATGACAAAGAGAAATGCTTTTCCATTTAAGAATATTTAATTGCTTAAAATTTATTTTTCTCATGTCTGATATTTTTATAGGCCTATGTTAGCTGGAAGCATGAAGATGACAAAGTCATTGTATTTGAAAGAGCTGGTTTGTTGTTTGCATTTAATTTCCATTCCACAAAGAGCTTTCCTGACTATAAAATTGGTGTTGAAATTCCTGGAAAGTATCCTTTCTGCAGTTTGATTTCTGGTATTGCTTCAGAAGTATTATTATATAGACTTCAGAAGTATTATTATTATATAGTTTGATTGTTATTGATTACATGAAAAAAACACAAAGGTGAAAACATTCCTCATGTTTACAATTTAAATACATTACCCATGCTCTTTAAATGTAATTTTTTTATTGGTTTTTCTTTTAAATCATCATGTAAATTGAATGTGTAACTTCAGTATCTAGTGTTTAATTCTTGGTCGATCAAAACCATGCATTTTATATGGAATATTAATCATTAGCTTTACAAAAAATGAATTAAAAATTTTATATGTTCATCAAGTTGTTTGAATATTTTTACTTAATAGATTAATGTTTTCTGAAGAACATAATTTATGAATAATTTTCAAATGTTGCATGGAGTTTCTTAGTAGTTTTCTCGTATGTAAATTTGTAATCATTTTTCAGTTTTTTTTTTTAATGTAGGGTTATTCTCTAAGTAGATAGCTTTCAGGTGCTGTGCATTAGTAAATTATCTGTCTGTCCCCTTGAAAAGATTTACAAGTAAATCATGCACAACAAGATTGATGTCTGATATTTGTTGTGATCCTTCTAATTTTAAGGAAATTATTTTGGCATACTATAAAAAATGAATTTGGGAAAATTATTTTACTCTTTATTTTGTTTCTAAAATAATGGATTGAAAAAATTTTTTGTTTAAAAGTTGATCACTTGATTAAATCTTATGCCATCTAGTAGTAAAGTTCAGTATTACATGACTTTGATATGTATTGAAATATAACCAAAACTTTCTCTCTTCATATAATTTTCTATAAATATAAAAATTATATGCAAATGTGAAATATTCATCATTATTTTCTGTGACATTTTTGTAGAATTATATTCATGATTCTGATAACTGTGATTGTGATCCTCCTGTTAGTAAATTATAAAGTTGTTTCTGTGACAGTTTTTAAAAATAAGCTATGTGATATTATAAATAGAATAAGTTGTAGGTAAATATATGTCTAAATTAATCTTTGTGTCTAACTCTGTAATATATCTGTAAGTATATGTCTAAATCTGTAATTAAACTTTCATATTCACATTTAGGCAAAATATATTTCTGCAAAATTTTTTTAATTCTCGTTAATCAGTAGCTTAAGTCATATAAAATATTCCTTTTAGCTTCTAACTGCTGTCAAATTTCTTTCAGTCTTCTGTACTAATTCATTATGGAATAATATAAAATGCTTATTTTATATTTTTTTTTTACCTAACTGATGATGTTTAAATACTTATGTTGCTTCACAAAACAGCTGACATTTTTTAATAGCAAAAAATTCACAGGTATTTTTTGTGTAAAATTTTTCAGACATCTAGCAAAGATTGAAATTCAAGATACTTTATGCGTATTTACTTTTAATGGATCCGTTTCAGCCTGTTATTTGGTATCTGAGTAACAAACATCTAGACAAGCTTTTATTTTTATTTGTGTCAAGGATTACTAGCAGTAGTAGTTCTGAACTGTGAACTGTGGATATTATAACAGCTGATGTTAATTTAATACTAATATCTTTCTTATATTTGGAAAATGTAATACATTTTAATTATGCTTTGAATGTCATTCATCTAATGAAATGTTTATTAAATACTCAAGAAAGGAGGAAGTATACAGTCTCTGAAAATTATGTATGCTGATATAAGTGGTAATTTCATATGTGTAATTGAAATGCTGTATTCATTTCTGTAGGTTGTTTTCAATTCTTAACTTTAAAGGTATAAAATAGTATTGGACAGTGACGCTGAAGAATTTGGAGGTCATAAGCGATTGGATCACAACACAGATTTTTTTACATTTCCTGAACATTATAGTGGAAGACAAAATTCTATGATGGTATGTCTATTTTTGTCTTCTAATGGCAAAACATGTACATCATGTGCAACATTTGAGCTTTATTGCCTGCTGTTACATAAATATTTTATACATTCCAAAGTGTCTAAACTGATTTTTTTTTTTTATAAAAAAAATCATAGAAGGTCATTTGCATGAACTTAAAATTTTATGAACTTACATTTTTCTTGCAGAAGAAATGACATGAAATTTTTATAAAAATTACTTTATTTTTTATTTTTATTGCAAACTCAACTCATTCAAATAATATTCTTTCTTGTCTATATTAATAACGTCTTTAATCTGGATGCCCATAATATGGAATGATCTATAATTCGGACCTCAAAGCTACAAACTATCTGCGCATGCGCATAATACCTTTACGCATGAGCATATGCATTTACTCATGTACATAATACGTTGTCGCATGCATGTTTAATTTATAACGGATGGTATAAGCTAGGCTAAAATTATCTAATTATCTATTTCAGTTAATGTTGCAGATTGGTTTGTTTCTTAATCTTCTAATTGGATCCAGCTTATTATTTTTTGCAGACTGTTAAAGCAATTTTATAAAAAGTAAGCTTGAACTTTCGATTATGTCAAAAAGAGATTCTGATTCTGGAGCTGCCAAAGGATCTACAAAGCGAAAGCATGTTTCGATGTCCATCAAACAAAAAGTGGAATTGCTGCAAAAAATGGATAAATGAACCGCATTTTTTCTACTTAGCACAATATTATTTGCGTAAACAGAACAGCTTGGCTTAATGATTTGTTTCTCTAACCATTCCGAAATCTGTTTATCAATTTTGCGCTGCTCTGCAGGGGGGGGGGATGTCGAAGCGCACAATGAACTGGACCCTGAAGATGAAGACAGTAGCAGAAGGTTAGTATTAAAAAAGAATTTCTTTATTAAACTAAAAGGAGTGTTTAAATTTTCAGTTAACTTTAATGACCTTTCAGATTTAAAAGCAGCAAATATTAATACCTCTCTGGGGGGATAAATAGACGGCCATGCAGTTTCTGCATTACAGATCCATTTGACATATGAGAAAGATTGAATAATTAGGTGTGCAGTATGAAAATTAAACCAGTTTAATAGCAGAGAATTAAATAAAAAAATTCTGTTAATTTTGAAATGATGTCAATGAAGAATATACTGATACTATCAGGCGAAAAGAGAATGTTTTAAATTTATTAATGTATACCTAGTTTTTCATTGCAGTACAACTAAGTAAAAAGTGTAGAAACTTATGAAATGACATTTGTGGTTTCCAAATTCTGATTTCGCAAATAAAACAAAATTGTAAGGAAATTCTACAGTTAGAAAATGGATTAAACTTTTTTTGCTCAGAACTCGGTCCATTTTATTGAATGCATTTTAGGTTTTATTTTTGTGTGGTTGTATATATTTATTTTACATGATTTTTTTAATCAGTTTGAATAGATACAATAAAAGCAAAACTTCAAACAGGATTCCACATTTTGGGATTGGTATTGACAAGGTATGGGGGGGGGGTAAAATTAATTAGAAGGTATAATTCTTAACCGAAGCTTAATAAAGAATTTTTGACTTTAAGTCTGTGTTTAGCGCTGCTTGTTCATCAGTCTGTTTTAGCATTGCATTGTCACTTGTGGAAGTTATATTCAGACAGATTATTATGTCCTTTTTTTACTTCCTTGTACGAAGTAAAAAGGAAGTATTGTAATCGCGAAAAGCTTCAGGCAGCATATTTAAACGAAAATATCCACTTTGAACGCTTTTGAATGCAATTTAACGATGTTTTTGCGTGATATCTGTACGTAAGGACAGAATAAAAGATTCGTTTCCTCCAAAAAAACTAAAAAACTGCTTTAAAATGAATTCTGAAGTGAATTTTTCGTGGCGTCTGTACGAACATGTCTGTACGAACATATGTACGTACAAACCTATGTACGTATCTTGCATAACTCAAAAACGAGTAGCCTCAGAATGTTGAAATTTTGTATATAAGACTACTATAACATGTAGATGTGCACCTCGTGTTTTGGTTTCAATTGGCCGCGCCAAACGTATATAAATATATTTATAAATATATCCACTCTGTTACCCGGGTCAGTGATCTCAGTTTCTTTACTCTTATGTGTTTGTAAATTGTACATTTTCTGCTTTAAAAGTGATTGAATTATGTTGTTTTTATCTTCCGGTTAAGGGTTTTATGCCTTTAGTAAATATTTTTAGACTTATCAACAACTTCAAAATTGTTTAAGTGCCGCTAAGCCTAATTTGATGGCGGCCATTGCTCTTGTTTACATTTGAAACAGCTGAGTAGCGGATTTGTTGCCAATCTAGAGAAACTTAGCTTCGCAACAACAAAGATAATACCTTCATTTATTATTTAAATCATGCTTAATTCTTTCTGGAATTTTTTCGAGGAAAAATGCGTTTAAGATTTACTTTGTAATTTTTAATACAGATATTTTGAGTTTTTATGTATTTTTGCCTTGTCGCGAAGTGAAAACTGAATTAATTGAATGAGAAATACTCAATCTTCTGTGAAAAACTGTTTCTTTTTTTGTTTTGTTTGCTTATTTTCTTTTATACATAGTTCTAGCTTTATTATAGTATTTGAATAGAACATGTGGCAACAATTAGATAATTCTTTAAATGATATAAATTTTGTGCATTCTGAGTTATAATATGAACGAAATATAATACTGTTAAGTAAACCTAGCGCCAGAGTGTTGCTATGGTAAACAAAGTGAATTTTAAAGAATGCATTTATTCTATTGTGGTTTATGCGTTGTCAGCGAAGTACGTTTAATTCAATAAGTTTAAATGAAATGCAAGAAAAAATGCGTATAATTTAATATTCCGTACAAGGAAGTTATGTGGTGTACACATCAGATTTTTTTAGTATAAAGTTTAAGTATGCTGATGGATTTTTATCCCCAAAGAAAATGCTGCAGGTAGAGGAGTAAGAGGAGAAAAATTACAGAGATGTCAAATACTAAGTAATTGAGAACCAAGAATGAAGTGTGAGCATGGCTGACCTAGCGAGCACGCATTGGATCATCCAAGGAGTTCAGCAGGTTTTGAAGAAGAGTGTTTTCTTCCAATTATTTTGCTACTTCTGATATGGAATGACGTTGATTGAAGCAGATGTTTAAATGTGGTTTTTTTCTGCTCCTGTTGCATAATTCTGGCATATGCTACGGCATATTTTTGTTTCAGTGCGGTACTAATAATGAAGAACTTAAAAGTTATTTTTGTCTTATTATGCTCTTTTATTTCTAGAAAGAGAAAAAAGTGAAAATCTAGAGTGCAGTAAAAATTTGTGCTATATCAAAACAGTGCTATTTCTGATGTCACAATTCGAAGGTGGTTTGAAAAGTTAAAGCCTGGAAATTTCAGCCTCAAAGATTGTTCACTTTGGTCGACTGTCCTTTGCAAACAAGGAGTTGTTGAAAGAAGTTATCATGGAAAATCCTAGGTATACAGTTTAGGAACTATCTGGAAGAGTAAATATTTTAAAAAGTGCAACATATGATCATTTGAAGAAGACTGGGTGCAAGCTGCCACCATGTGCTGATTTTCCATATTTTAACAGAGCAGAATATGCTTACTTGAGTTTTGGTATGCAGTTCTTTGTTAAAAAATACCAAAGAAGTTCCTTTCTCTAAACAGCTTATTTCAGGAGATGAGAATGAATATTATAGAATAATGTGACAGGAGAAAGATCATGGAATAAGCCAAAAGAACCTCATTTAGTAACACTGAGATGGTAGCTGCATTTTAAAAAAGTAATGCTTTGTGTATGGAGGGACTGCAAAGGAATTGCATATTATGAATTGTTGCCACCAAATCAGACAATAAATTCAGGAAAAACACTGCTCCCAAATGACAGTTTTTAAAAAGAAATTAAAGCAAAGTGCCCAGAACTGACTATTCTTTAAATTATTGTCTTCTATTATGATGATAGTGGCCCAATATTTTGATTAGTGGCAGACAGAAATTGAGTTATTGCTGAGATTTTTTGTATTACCTCTCATATTCATTAGTTCTTGCTATCTGAGATTTTCATCTCTTCAGATCATTTAACCCTCCGAGCGATTACGGGTTTAGCCCTAAAATTTCAAAGTTCCTCAAAATGTCATGAATAAGTGGTATTTTTTTAAATTTTAATTAAAAAATGACTCTCTCATTTTGTACCTTGACTCCTTTTCTTCCAATATACATCCAAACCGAAATCAGATACATTAAAAACTAGCAGAAATTTTCATGTATAATGAATATAGAAAGCAGCCTTCTATGCGGAATTTTTCGGCCATAACACTGAGAGGGTTAAACATTCTCTCAAGGGCCTGCAGCTCATCTCTTTGGAGACTTTCTGAAAGCGTGCCGATAATTTCTTAATGAATAAACCTAATGTTATTTTTTAAAAAAAGGAATTTTCTTGTCACTTGAGAGATGGCAAGATGTCAAAGAATGATATGCCGTTTATGTGATTCAACGAGAGTTTCTTATATTTTTGTACTGCTTCATTTGTATTTATCATCAAAATTACACAGAACTTTTCGGATGACCCTTGAAACGTGGACAAGATGTCAAAGGGATGATTAAATTTGTAAGCAGTTTGGGGATTTACAGGGGTTCAAAATTAGTAGAAACAGCTGCCCCCTCTGGCCCTTACCCGGTTAAGGCATGGAGTCGAATGGGGCTTGGATGACAGAAATGGGCAACTCATTCCGTGCTGTGTCAGGTTTATGCCCCACTTCATCAACCACATTAGCTGGAGAGGGTTGGCAGGGCAGGCTCTCAGCTACCCATGACCAGATGTTTTCAATGGGTGACAGATCTGGAGACTGCAGATTAGGGCAACAATTGAATATCTTGTGTATCGAGGACCTGTATCTGTCTGTGTGAGAAAGGTTGGAGCATGACGTACAACATGTGGTCTTGCATTATCTTGTTGGAAGATGGCATTTGGCAGGCTTCAAATATAGGGCACAACTGCTGGATG